GTTCTTACCTTAGACTAGTTGATATGTACCTGTCTGGTCTTTGTCCGTGCGCTCTGTCATGCAAACAGAGCACAAACGCAGCCTCTTCCACAGACTGTATAGTACCAAATCAGCTCCCGTTAGAAGCTCCCAAACTCTTCCACGTGTTCCCTATTTAAATACAGTTACGTGACGTGTTACTCTACAAAGTATAGTAACACAGAAATGTAACGTGTCGATTTTCTCTGCGCACTAACTCCTAAAGACTTCTCTCCCGCTCACTTCCGTCAATAGAAGCAGCATAAGCGGGAGAGAAGTCTTTAGGAGTTAGTGTGCAGACGTAGTGCTCCTCGTATTATTACGCCTAACAATATAGTACCCCTTTTTATCCGCTGAGAAAATCGACATTTCTGTGTTACTATACTTGGTAGTGTAACACGTCACGTAACTGTATTTAAATAGGGAACACGTGGAAGAGTTTGGGAGCTTCTAACGGGAGCTGATTTGGTACTATACAGTCTGTGGAAGAGGCTGCGTTTGTGCTGTGTTTGCATGACAGAGCGCACGGACACAGACCACACAGGTACATATCAACTAGTCTAAGGTAAGAACATGTGTCAGTATGTAAAAACGGTGGCCTATCCTTTAACGTTGGGCGCCCGCTGTTTTGATATATCTGAACGGATTGCTGCGATCAGTTGGCCGCTACTTTAAAAATCAAGCATGTCAAAAATGGCCATATCCAAGTCATCTTCTCCACCACTCCCAATAATTTGACTGAGAATGTACAATGTGAAATTGTACATTCTACCAGGACCATGAAACCTTTTATTTTTATTTTTTTATCCAATATACATCTAAACACTAAAAACACAATACATTGTGGAGTATTGTGTTGAAGGGGACTAGGGCAGCTCTATTATAAAAATAACTTAATATGTTTGACCCACTTAATTATTGAGGATTATTTAACATTTCTTTGACATCAGTGAAATGATGGGTGTGTATTTGTGCAGTGTTTTCCTGTGTCATGGTTTAAAACAGTGGAACATGGTATAGTGTCAGACAGTAGCCTGGTATCTTCGGCCCCATTAGCACATGAAGTTAAACGAGAAGTGTTCTATACATTTAGCCCTAAATTATAATAAACAAAGTGTGATTGAAATAAAGGCTTAAATAAATCCTGTGTACATGGATGCTCCTGTGGACATGAAGCAGATCAGAGCCAGCTCCATTAAAGTGTTTCTGCTATGAGCGCACAACAGCAGCCTGCAGTTAGACACCGACCCGGAGGCTTTTGCTACGAGGGGCAGAGCGCAAAATTTCTCATGTGTAATGATCAAAATGGATATGGATAGAGCGTACATTTATTTAAAAAGCTATTAATGACAAGTTGATTGCCTTGTCTGTTAATGCAACCGGTCAGCAGCTAAGCCTGGTTCTTTGTGACTTAAAAATGGACCAATAGAAAAGGCAAAAATCTTTTGAGCTAACAGAGAGGATTTGAAATAAGTGAAAGGCCAAAATAAAAATTGAGCGGGAAAACAAAAAAAAATTCAGTGAAGCAGGACAATACTCCAAAAGACCTTCAACGCGAATGCTTTTCAACTCGGGGAATCTTCATCAGAGGCTTGTTGCTAAAAGGAGGTTTGGTTTTGGGGTATGTTCAGGTTTAATTTGAGTTTTCCCATCTCTGAAAAGTGTTTAGGCTCAGTCGGGTAAATTGTGAAGAGTTCTGGTTAAGACGTAAAAACGACAACATGGACCAGTCAGACATGTGACACGCCTTTCAGTCAGGACTTTTCAAATAATTCAAGATTCAGAAAGGTTCACACCACGGCAAAAAGAAAGTCAGCTGGATCAGAACTCCGGAAAAAAACATACTTTCTACTGTGGCTTCAAGTGGCGACAGCACTTAACAAATATAGAAGCAGGACAGGCCTGATTTACCTTTACTACTTTCAATGATCCAAGGCTGCAGATGTGAACTTTTGAGTTTGTCCAACACATCTTAACTGCCAATTTAAACTATGCTTTAACAAAAGCTTCAAGGTTCTGTGAGCTACAGTCGCAGATTTGCGACAATGTAGTGAAAATATCACTTCAGAGAAACAGAGCCACAGAGAATTTTTCCACTGACCATTACGCAACGGCTGTAACAATTAGGGGTCTAATAACGTGCTGAAGTTTAAAAAGGTGCACTTTATTAATCCCCATAAGGCAAATCATCCTCTGCATTTGACCCATCTAGTCTCTGCTAAGGCTTACGGCAGGAGCAGAAGTCCCCGTAGTAGAGCGCCCGGGAACCCATCTCCAGATGATGATGCTCGGCTTGGTCAGAACTACCGGAGCTGGAGGATTTACCTAATGTACATGTTTTAGTGGTAGGGGAAACCGGAGCACCCCGAGGAAACCTACACAGGCCCAGGGAGAACATGCAAACTTCACTCAGAAAGGCCCGGTTCCGACCGGGATCTGAACCCAGGACCTTCTTGCTATCCACTCAGCCACCTTGTGTTTATCACAACAAACACTCACCAGCGCGACTCGTCCTGCTTCATTTTGGCAGGCTGTGCTCTCTGCTCTGGGACCAGGGAAATGAGGTCCGAATATCCTTAGACCAGGCGAGTTTGACAAATCTCATCACCCGTGTGCTGAAGTTTGGGTCTGGGTTCTGATCAGCAAGGCCCAATCTATCCTGCGTGTGCCCAACCTCATTCTGTCTTGCGTGTGCGCGACCCGGTCGTGAAAGGAAAAAGTATCCTTAAAATCGATGATGTGAGGGCCTTGGTAAAGAAGTTAATCAAAACGGGAACATCTGGTTGCCCAAAAGCCGCTCTTGTAGCCGCGTGCAGTCACATTGATGAGCGCGTGTCAACAGTGCACAGATAAAAACAAAACAAAATGCATTTATACATAACCACTGATCCAGGCTTGACTGCGCATCCTTGACAGTCACATCGGCCCAAACACACCTCGATGATATTGAAACATAAAAAAATAAATACTATATCAGTTTATGTGTGCAACAAATGAGAATCATGAGGACAGTCACATTTTCTTTACTTGTGAATCATTTTCCACAATAAAACTGACGTAGATCTTTGTTAGTGGAAAAGTAGTTCTTGATTGGAAGTGTGAGCACCCCTGTAATAAGTGTAAACAATCAAATGCACTTTACGGCATTGAATGTACTCTAGGGCACTACACTAGTACTATATCACTATACAAAATATAGTGGTGTTTGGCTAGACAACTAATCGAAAATATAAAATTGACTAGTACCTAAAATAAGAGTTGGTGACAGCCCAAGCAGCCACACACACACACCACTGAGTGCAGGTATGACCAAAGCTCATAAGCATGAGTGACAGCCAAAACAGAGACATGTCCTATGGGATCCCTCTTATTTTATCAAAATCCTTTATTCTCAGTGACAGGTTTCACCTGCCACATGCTGGTGCACACAACAAAACAACACTCACTGATCACCGATCAATCATCTGACATCTGTCCAGACATGACTGTGTGCTAACATACCATAAGACAGAATGAAGAGCACTGCATTCCAACAGTCATTGAGTAATAGCAAGAGCATGACAATTGTGAACAATGTGTGATCATTCTGTGGCAATGTCCTTGTTTGACATAGAGCTTTATGCTTGCTCCATTTAAGAAGGTGCGGAAGAAGCAGAAATGGACAAGTGCCATTTAAACAGAAATGAGCTGGGATGCCCACAGTGTCCAAGTGTTCAAAGATCCATAATGAGCAACTCATTAAGTGGTTAAAACCACATGGGAATTGTGTGCTGCCGAGACAACAGTCTGTAATAGAAGCGCTGACTTCCAACATTAAGTGACTCCATGCTTTCTGAGGTCTGACAGGTTTATGACGCCATTGTAAAGCCCACCATTCATACACATAACAAAACCAACACATCCCCAGCTTTCCTTCTCCATGCTAAAGAATCATTGTCTGTGCACTATCACTGGGAAATGCAACAGTATTATTAGACTATAGCGCAAGTGAGGAAGGACAAGAACAGTTATCATTCAACTTTACTAACCCTTTAATAAAAAGATTATTGCATTCCTAATAGCACAACCTAAAACATGGCGTCTTTCAAAGTTGTTATATGCCGTCTTTCAGGCTAATAACATAATGGATACGACAACGACAGAAGATTCCCCGTTCAGATAAGAAACAATCATTAAATAATAACACAACAAACGTAAGCCTTTTCTAGTCATCACAGGACTGGGCAAATCTAATATAACACATAGTTAAACCAAAATGAACAGAGATCAAGAGGAGAACTGTTATAGCATGAGTCATGACAGCACACAATCTAACAGACAGAACTCTCAACGTGTTTACAAGTCTTCTCTGGTTGTTGTACACCCGAGCTGGGCACTGCATTCCCAGCATATGAAACAACGCCAAAATACCCATGAATAATCAAAAATGGATACACTCAAACAAGCTTAAGACACCATTTTGAAAATCTACTGATATCTGGATTTCTGAACACAGAGATGCCATCTTAGTAGATATCACCAACCCTGTAATGACTCAGATTAACACGTTGATCACCCCATTCCTATACGTTGTCTGGAATGAGTACAATACCAACATTAGCTTAGCTTGTCTGCTAGCCTCAAAACACAGCTGCTAACTCTCTGTAGCATCCTTGCATCCCAAAGTGCACGCTGCTGCCGATCAACGGGCCAATTAGCGAGCTAGCAAAAACCAAACTATCCCAATAAACAGGCCTACATCTGAAATTGTGTGATCCAACTAAGCATCGTCACATAAATTACTATCTACCTAGGGCCCCGAGCTAAGCAGCAACTTGCATTTACAATTCAAGCTAACGCGATTAGCATTAGCAGCTAGCTCCCCGCAGCTGCAGCCACCACTACGGAGGACAATTGAACGGGAAACGAAAGGGAAAACACATTTTAGCCATTCATTACACGGGTATTCTACTAACGCATGAAGCACAATAGAGTGCACTTACCAAAAAAGGCTCAGCCAAAAAAGTTAGTACAAAAAGAATTCCCTTATCGAGGAGGTTTTTCTGATGTGTTGTTCGCGACTGCGCTGGGCTCTCGGTGGTTGCGGACTGGATCTGCTTCACACTCTCGGCAGCAGGCTTGTGTTGGGCCACTGTGGAGAGACGGACACGGGTGGGGGATGGGGATGTACTGCCGGGAGCGGGTGAGGGAGAGGGGGGGGGAGTGCAGGGATGCAAGGAGAGAGGACTCTGTGAGGCAGACAGTCCGCGATGATATGCACATTGCGCACCATTAAACAGTGCAGAAGATACTGTGTAGGTGTGTGCGTGTGCGTGTGCATTTGGGAGTTCAGACAATTAAGTTTGAAAATACCTCCAATGTGCATTATCGTATACACTTTTTATTCCAACGTTGTATGAGCAGTTGAATGTGATTTAATTTCAAATTTCAATACGCGATGCATGTTTTTTTGTTAATCAATAATTCACAATAGATTCATCTTGAGTTACACCGCTGTTGTGCCGTTATAGAAGCCATGTCCACGTTCAACCGTAATCATGCATTTTCCATTTCCAAGTTTACTGGCGATTGTCGCTGTTTATATGAAATGGATTCACTGCGCCATCTAGTGGTTGTAGCTATCAGCGCAAAATCACACATAGCAACTCTGCCTCTTTTTATAAGGCATACATCTACTAAACAGGTAGATTTCAGATCTCTGCAGAACTATGCAACAGTCTTCCCGAGGTTGTGTGACCATCCTCTACCCTGACCGTGTTCGTAACTTGGTTGAAAACATATCTGTTTAGTTGTTGATTCTGATTCTATTTTGAACTATTATGTATTGTTTCAAATCCCCATATTAATAAGAGTTTCAAGCCCAATATTTAAGCTGACATGAAATTATATACTGATGTATTTGTATTGCCTTTTTGGTCTGTTTTTATGCATTTAGATCTGTGTTTTAAATTGCTCTTGTGAAGCACTTGGAATTTCCTTGAACACAAATAAACGTTGATTGATTGATTGATCTATATATTTGACCAATAATAAAATAAAACAGCAAATAGGTGCATTATACTCAATGCATAAGTAGCTTAGGTTGACTTGTTTGCCCTTCCTCTCTGTCGTGTCACATAATTTAACTAACTATAAACTAAAAACACCAAAGGATGTTGTAAGTCCCAGCGTCGAACAAAGATATTTGAACTCGAAACGTCACGTGACTTTCGTTGCCGGAAGTACAAGTAAACAGATTCGGAACTATCCAGGGTGCTGACCATATAGCTGACCATGGATTTATTATGCTGCTGACCGTGAGCGAGCTGCGGTGCTTAGTTGTAATCTAGCCTTAGCAATTGAAAAAGTAATTTATTTAATTGAATTGAAATACACTTACAAAATTCTTCCTATTCACAATCAGGCCGCGCAATGTTATTTTGTTTTTAGACAGAGCTCTGACTTCTCTCATCGGACCTTGATCTTGTTAAAGATGAACAAGTGTCCGGATACCACCCACTTTAACCCGGGCATCACTCCTGAATCTAATGGAGAACCAGAGCGAAGGACTCTCTTGAATGTTTCGCAGTCTCTTGGAGTTCAGCTTCTCAGTGTTCTCCGGTCATTTAGACAACAAGGCTTGTCGTTTGATTTCACCATCAACGCGCAGGATCAAAGCTTCCCCTGTCATCGCTGTGTGCTTGCAGCATCCAGTGATTTCTTTAGGTATCTACTTGTGTTGCCGCCATCTTTATTCAATGTTTATGATCAGTCACATCAAACATTTTTACAACAGCTTTTACAGATGATTTCCTAGAAATTAGTGAGTCATAATTCTTGGTCATTAATCTATCAAACCTGGCTAAGACTCACATTGTCAGTATGTTCTATAGTTTAGTTTGTTTTTCCAAAGTGGTCCAAACTAATATGTGTGAATTTGAATAATCGGCATGTTTATTGGTTAAATTTATTTGTATTATCATACTTTTAGCCTTGTTTTAGACCAATAGTACAGTACAAATTGTCTTCTTTTTAAATGCATATTTACATGAAATGCACAGGGCTATGTTTGAGGTGGACATGCGTGAGCGTGAAGCTGGCTCGGTCACGCTGACAAACCAAAGTCCTGGAGCAGTGAGGACTTTCCTGGATTTTGCCTACACTGGAGAAGCAGTTATCACAGATGCAAGTGTAGACACCATTTTTCAGATAGCCTCATTCCTTCAGGTGAATTGTAAACATAAATTGTATATAACATGTATGAAATACAATTTAATTTTTCAACTCTGTCATAGAACTTGAACAAGTGATTTTATTTCTAAAAGGTTTCAGCCCTCTCTGAAGCATGCAGTGATTTCCTCATAGGGTCCATGGATCTTACAAATGCCCTGTGCCTCTTGTCCCTTGCTGAAGCATATGGTTCGCCTTCATTACTCCTAAGTTCCACGGATTTTGTGCTTGAGAACTTTCACTGCTTGTCTCAAAAAAAGGATTTTATGGATATGCAGGTAATGCTTCTAGACTTATTGGAGATATCCAAGATGAGCCACATGTTCTTTTATTCAAACTAACCTGATTGTATTTTAACCAGACAAATGTTTTAGAAAAATGCCTCAGATCAGACTTACTCAATATCCCCAGTGAGGAAACTCTGGTCCTGTCTCTACTGAGCTGGATACGCCACAATCTTTCTGAAAGACGAGCCCTTCTCCCAGGACTCCTGTCTCTGACTCGGCTCCACCATATCCCTGCACCTGCACTGAAGGTACAATCATAGTGTGGACATATTACATTACTCAATGCGCAGAGTGTATTGAAATGATTTTAATGTACGCCAACATGTTCTTCCAGACTTTATTTGATGTGGACCCTCTTCTCTCCAACGATGAACAATGCCTTGCATTACAGTCAGAGGCGCAGCATGTACAAAGTCAGTACAATGGTCTCATGACAGATGCCAGGCCATCCACGACACAAAGCTACATCTACATCCACAAAACAGAGGAGAGAGGTGACATCCACCATGCATTCTGCTATTGTCTGGATTCAGACCAGTGGAAGGTGCTGGGGACTGAGGAGGGCACAGACACACTCCCCGACCCCCCTGGCTGCCACTTCATTAGTTATGCTGAGAAGGTATGAATATTATCAAACAACTATAAAAGTGTTTGTCCTTGTACATGAGAAGTGAGTAGAAACAGAAACAAGGCATTTTCTTATGGAAAGTATTTTGGCACAGATGTTTATCACAGGTGGTTGTGGCAGAAACTGCCGCCGCTCAGTCCGCCTTCATGTGGCTGAGCCACACCATGATGCCACAGACGAGGTGTGGTGCTTTTGCCCAGTGACAAGAACATGCACTGCTGCTCCTGCCATGCTCACACCCCGCACTATGCACACTGCAGTCTCCAGTCTGGGTCGAATCTATGTCATCGGGGGAAGAACCAGAGGATCTCGAGATGGAGCTCCAAGTCTGTTGGAGGTACATCATTGACAGTCTGTACAGATCTTATCATTATAATTGTAGATTTCTAAATTGCTCTTTAGGTAGAGTATTACAACCCTTTGTGTCAGACCTGGACTGCTGTCAGCCCTCTGCCCACTGCTATATTTTACCCTGAAGCTGCCAGCTGTGATAATATTATTTACACTTTGGGATCTGAGGTGGAAACGACAGATACGTTTAACCCTTTGCTTGACTGCTTCTTCCGATATGATGCCAAACAAGACCAGTGGACACGTCTCGTCGCAGAGTTCGGACAGTTTTTTCATGCCACATTAGTCAAAGCAGTGTCCATTAAAAATACTCTGCATCTCTGTGACTTGTCAACGTATAAGGTTAGACAATGACTATACTGTATGTACTGTAGGTGTGCATGTATTTATATAGTTTATTTACCCTTTATTTCTTTCAGGTGTTCAGTTTTTGCCCAGAGACGTGTGAGTGGAATGGGGAGGGATCTTTTGAGAGTGCCGGGTTCAATGCCGGGGCTGTGGGTACTCGTGATCGAATCTATGTCTTGGGCGGGGATTATTCTCCAGATGAAATCACAGATGAAGTTCAGGTACAGTTTTGTAATAGCAGTAAAGTTGTTGGCACAGGTTGAAAGCCATACTCTCACAACTCTGTACTATGTTTTGTATTGTTTTGTGTGCAGGTCTATCACAGTAGTAAGAGCCAATGGGAGGAAGTGACGGCCATGCCCAGACCCCTGACTGAGTTCCACTGTCAGATTATCCATTTCAACACATACAAAGACCCATGGAGGGATGAGACATAGACTGATATGTATACTGTATGTATACTGTATATCAAATACACTTGAAATAAGGACGGACACTTTATTTCCCAACATAATACACCTTATACATATTTAGAGTGAAGATACAGTAGATTGTATGTATCACAGTTGTGTAATATAGTCACTCTTTTCCACTAAGACGCTAGCTCTGGGCCGGTTTTGGTCCGGTTCTGTTTCTGTGTTGAGTTTGCTTTTTGCTGTATTTCAGTCTCAACACCAACTTTATTTTTAAGTATAACATTTATCTTTAGTATTTATCCGGTTCCCATTCTGTGGCAAGGCCCGTTTTTGGATTCCAGATTTTTTTGACTGTAGCAGGATCGAAAATGGCTCTGAAATTGGCACCTGGCCCAGATTTGTGGAAAAGGGGTATTATTGTGAACTGTGTAGGTTTTTTGCGAGCCCAAATTAATCTAATTTGTATAAAAAGATATTAAATTCGGTGGAGATATTTAAAAGGTTTAAATTCATAGAGTATTTTTTAAACAATTCTTGCTATGGATGTTCCCATTATGGTATAGTATTTCTTTCTGCTGGCTACCACTTCAAAATTAAATAAAAAATTAGATAAAAAATAAAACAAATAAGAAAAACCCAGAAAAAACAGCATTTATTTTACAAAGGAATTACACATTTTTCAAATATTTACCATGTCCTCCAAATGCATATTTGTTGTTTAACATTCAAAGAACCAAAATGTGACAATAAATGATTTTAGTTGCAGACGTGTTCTAACTACTGGACCAGGCATTGAGGGACTAGTTGCAATGTAGACCATGTGTGGAGCAGCCTAGTCCTGCTGCTGGTGCTGGCATCTCTCCTCTCTCCTGCTCTCATTCACCTTTCATGCTTGGTAGGACTTGACGAGCAGCCACATGAGCAGCACGGTGATTAAGACGATCATGAAATTTAGAAAGAGCTCCTGCACTGAGCGGTCCATGGTGGTCTCTGATGGTCCCTGATGATCCCTGATGTAGGAAGCAGAAGGCCAAGGCACAGAGGAAGGGCACTGACAGAGACCTAAGAATACGAACAATCATAAAGGTGTCTGTGAGTTTTTTGTCTCTCTAGTTCATGGCATCAGACTTCAATGGTCAACATGTTCCTGATCCTGATGAGTTTGTTTTTGTCAAATACAGTACACATTATATGCAGTGAAAATGTACCTCCAGCAGAAGTGTGTATGTATCTGGTGTGTGTTTTGTCAAGAATGAAAAGGAGAAAGAAACATTCTATTGTCATGACATTTAAACTAGTAAAACCAATACATAACAGAATATATATCATAATTGGATTAATATTATTTACCTTTCCTCTTGTTTTCTTCACTCTATTTATGAAGACCCGAGAAGTCTTTGTTCCTTGGCACAGCAGCTTTCTGTTATTTTGACATTCCAATAACTTCCTGTGATCATCTGATCCACAGTTGGCTCCTGTTGTCCTGCTTTCTGTGGATGCTGGGCGATGTCCCGCACATAAAAGCAGCCCAGAGAGCCACAGAGCCACGCCCCTGGTCCACATGCACTCTGCCTGATGTCACAAAGCAGCTGAAGCCATCCTCTTGTGCAGTGTTTCCCCTCCATATTGGTCCACAGTAACACAAAGACCCTCAGGACGGGCCCAGGTTATTTTTAAAACATTATTGCAGAAAGTAGGCTGGATTAAAGTTGTTCCAAACACAATACTTGGGTCGTTCGTTGGATAAAGGAAACAGTAACAGTATCACTCTGCATCAGAGGAGCAACTAAACTCAGAGGCAGAGAATACCAGGGCAACCTGGTTTAAATCCAACGAATGCTGTGATACATCAGGCCAGTCCCTGTGCTGTCATCAGAGGAGTATCGCTGAAAAACAAGAGCGGCCTGGAGACAAACATACCCTCCATTTAAATATCAGTCAAATACCTATTGGTTAAGATTATGGTTCTGCACATACAGTCCAGTGCTTTGCCATTTCCATGTTCTCTGGTTTGTCAGATGCTCTATCCACATGGAAGTTTTTAAGTTGAGACCAGAGATAGACCAAATAATTCTATTCTCTGAGGCATACTATTTTAACCAAATAGATAATTAAATATCTTAATATATTCCCAGATTTATAGAGCAAGACAGGATAATACATTTTAATAATTACAAACTGGAACGTTGGTTTATTTGATTGGTGTAATTATTCCTCTTAATAATGTCATTTTAATTTTTTTTTTTTATCACATTTTGTTTGTCCCAACAGAAAGAATCTTGTTTTTTTTAACCTTTTGTAAACAAATCAGAGCACAGCATGTTGTCTATATCTTATTAGAAAACATGTTTTAACTTATAAACTGAGAGCTGATTGTTAAACATTTCGCTCTGTCATGGATTTTACTACATACTGTAGTTCATTATTAGTGGCTTCATAGTTGGGCGAATACAACAAAGAGAAAGCTGCAAATCAGGTCAAAACAAAGTATCTCCGTCACACTTTCTCATGCCATTGTTTCTTGTGTGGGAGGTACAGGACTCTGGCGCCCCTGTTTACAGCTCCTGTGCTTGTGCTAAGATGAGGCTTTGACAGTTGACCACATGAGCACCTCTCAGCTCAACTCACACTTGACAGCTGCTTATCTCTGTGGCCGAGTTAAACCCTCTGTACAGGCTGCTCCTCCTGTGAACACGCATGAGTCAAGAGCACCATTCCCCTCAATCCTTCCACATCGGGGATTCCAAGGTCATGCTTCTGTGGATTAAACACATCAAAACCCAGGCCCTGTTTTATGGTCCTAAACACAGCCAGAATATCACTCATGACTTTCTGATCCCAAAGATTCCTATTGTCAAAGGGAGCCAGTGTCAAGTCCTTATTGAATAAATATAGGGAGGTGTGTTGGCATCTCGGGCCTGTGGCACTATAACAGCTGTGGGTGCAAAGGCAAGATATAAAAGTTCTGGCACCTTTCCTTTGTAAATCAGAGGAGAAGACAGAGGATTTCAGCGAGGCTTCAAAGACACCATACCATTCGTTCTGAGAAATTACACTGGCTATACCTTGACATTTACACTAGTTTCCAAAATATAGTAATATTAATAATAATCTGTTGTTGATATTGGCCTACTTTCTATTCCCACATATGGTAACCAGAGGTGAGTAGTCTAATAGTTTCGGAGTAGCAAGGAATTGCTGATGAAGGAGTGTCTAAGAACATTTTGTTTGTCCCAACAGAAAGAATGTTGGGACAAACAAATGATTTTAGGATATTTATGGACATGTATTAACATTTGTGGACATTGGTCTTCTGCCCCTATGGATCAATGGCTCATATGTCTTTTTATTGTATTTCCAGTGTCCGAACTGTTTGATTCTCTATTTTGTAACTTTACAACTTTCTAAGTTGTAAAGTTGAGGCGACTGCTGTTGTGACTTAGGGCTGTACAGAAATCTATTGAATTGAAGTAAATTAACCATGACGGCCAGGCCAAAAACTGAACTCACACAGCATATTGAACTATTAAATATTTGCTGTTAATTTGTAATGCAATGTGTTCAGTAAATGGTTGTAATTTATTTGGACTGTTATTTAATAGCAAGTGTAACATTTACTCAAACAGGCATGTTGCTGAACTGGAGTTTGTGAGCTCTCTGCAGCTGTTGTATTGCAGATAGTGAGTGTGTAGAGAGGAGAGGACAATGGGAAGCCCCCAGAGGCAGTGCACCATGTTTTGACAGGTGATGGCTTGGTTATGTAACATGACTGTAACACACATACACAGTGCAGGACTTATGCTGATGAATTGTGCAAGTCCATACTCTTGTCACTAATCTCCATTAGTTTTATGAGCAGACAGTCCTACACCGCTGAATTTACCCCAGTAATACCAGAATAAAAAGCATATAATCAAGCTGTTGTATTCAGTCAGCTGCTGGACATTTCCTAACAATAATTACACGTATGGCATAGTCATAACACTGCTTCCCAGTATAGGCCAATAGGTGGCAGCAAACTGATTGAGTTACTCGTGTTAACAGCTTTATAAAGAGGGTTATTATTATGAATATTATCTATATGATTATTTCCCTTCCTTTTACCGTATTTTTATTTTCCATAATCGGTTATATACTTTAGCTAAAAACAGTAAGCAGATTGTTAAAGATGTTTGTGTTTATGCTCGCGGAACCTTTCTCCACGAAAGTTGTTTTTATCGGACTCAAAATAAAGACGCACCTTAGAGGCTAATGTGGAAAACATGGATCTTTCAACGAAAGACACGAGAAGTAAAGATGAGAAGAAAGTACTTCGTAAACAAATCAAAGCTACTCACACTTTACTAAAACATGAAGGAATCCACACCACGTCAAAACCCTCGAAGGTAAAACTGAATAGCGGGATATTAACATGCTGAGTGATGCCAGTTTTAATTATTCTCAGTAACATCTTCATTTTCCCAGCATCTGGTTGTTTCAAATGGTGGCCTTGGGAATGGAGTGAGCCGTGAGTATCTGTCCATGACACTGGAAGAAATGGGAGAGGTGCAAATGCTTGTCATGCCCCCTCACAAACCATATGCCTTTGTGACATTTAGGTATAACATAGTCTTTATGTTTTAGATGACGTATATGTGTATTTAAATTTCAACTTTGTCTTGATCTGCTTCCAGTTCTGAGGAAGTGGCTCTCAAAGCTCACAGAGACCTTAATGGACATAGGCTGCACTGTGGTGAAAGCAGTGTCACTCTATATCTTAGCTTTGTGGAAGCAGGTAGGCCTAATGGTTTGCATGGTATACCCCCCGGACTCTTACGTATATGCAATGCCAACAGTTTAAATACTCATTCTTTTGTTTGTCTAGTTAAGTGCCCAGGAGAAGAAATAGTTGATCTGCCAGAAGGTTTGACTGTAGTAGAAGACTTTGTGTCACCTGAAGAAGAAAATCTACTTCTTGCATCAGTTGACTGGTCTTCCATTTGCGATCAGGACACTGGTATGGATATTTTGGGGGAATAAGGGCGGGTGGAACAATCTCACCATGACCTATAGTCATACATTGAAATCACTTCAATTTGTTTTCAGCTCAAAAAGCTCTCAAGCACAGGAAGGTCAAACATTATGGTTATGAGTTTCGATACGACAACAACAATGTGGATAAAGAAAAGCCTTTACCTGCACGTGAGTGATTTTTATTTTATTATATTTTACATTTTCAAATCAGAGATGATTCTTGTCCATTTTTTGTTCATGAATTTGAAGGAAACATGACTTTCAGATCTTCCTGAGGAGTGTGCGCCTGTATTACAACGCTGTATACAGCATGGATACATGAGTATAATGCCAGACCAGCTGACCGTCAACCAGTATGAATCTGGGCAAGGTCTGTGACATTAGATACACTAAGATACTATATAACAAAGGACTACAACTCTCATTAAAAAGGCTCAAATTATCACAAATAATTGGATTTTAAATAATATTTAGAGGAAGCGATTATTATTGTTTTTCAAAATTCGATCACAATATATAAAAATGTAAATAAAATGTAACTTCTTTCCTCAGGTATTCCTCCACATGTGGACACTCATTCTGCTTTTGAAGATACCATCATGTCACTGAGCCTGGGAGCACAGGTCAGTCTTTCTCTGTCTGAAAAAAGTAACCAAAACAAATATCTCTTCTTTAACGGTATATCCATGAAAGAATAACTATTTGGGGGGGTTCTCGATAATGAAATAAATATCAAACTTGTTAGTTAATAATATGAAATGAGAGAGTACAACTATAAAGCTTTTGGACTATACTATATAAGAGAGTAACTAAATGGAGAGTAATAATTGCGCAAAAAATCCAGTTGGTATGAATTCATAATTCCGGATAAAAAATAATATATTTGTCTTCAAACTTGAGCTCTGCCAATGTACAGAAATGATTCCATATTTTCAAGCTCAGAATCGGCATAATTCACCTGTATTATTACAATCTACACATTAGTTACCTTGTGAAAAAAAACTTCAGCTCAAATTAATATATAACTCATATATTAGGTTGGAATAGGTTAGTGTTAAAGTATACATTTGTTGTATGTTAGTGGCTTTCTAACATTAAGATTCAAGCTTTTTATTTAAACGAATAAAAAGGGACATTGTTGCTGCTCATAGAAGCTGTAGCACATAGAATCAGAATCATGTTTATTGCCACGTAAGTAACAGGAAGTTACAGACTTGGAGATTACTTTGGCTCAGTGCAACAGTCAGAAAGAGAGGTAAGGGTAGAGAGGCATAATAAAAAATAAAGAATAAAAAAACCTTCTAAGGAATAAATTTAAATTTAAAATAGAGTTAAAAGTGCACATGGTGCACACAATGTAAGGTGACAGCAGTACAGTGAAGTAAAGTGACGTATGATGGGCAGTAAAGTGACTTTATAAAGGGCGGGGGGACAGGTTAAGAAGTGTTCAAGAGTCCAACAGCAGAGGGGAAGAAACTGTTCTTGTGGCGGGAGGTTCTAGTCCTGATGGACCGCAGCCTCCTGCCTGAGGGGAGTGGTTGGAATAGTCCATGTGCAGGTGAGAGGGGTCGGCTGTGATACGACCAGCCCGGCCTCGAGCTCGGGCTTAAATTAATCCATTTTCTTCTCCTTAATGCATTTCTGGATCCAAGATGGCGTCGTATTCAAATGAATGGTTTGTGCTCAGTGGCGCATGTGCCGACACAGGTGCTGACATATTAGCTGAACTCGCCTGTATCTGGGCATCGTCTGGTCCTCCCGGTTCTGCGCAGTGGATTATCTCCCATGATGCATTGCGCCAAATACGCATGTGTGGCTCTCATGCTCTCATGCAGGGGTTACTGTAGTAGTTTATCACCACCGTGTATGGAGTGAATGAATAATGACATGTGAAGCGTCTTTGAGTGTCCAAAAAAGCGCTATATAAAACTGATGCATTATTATTATAATAATATTAATAATAATAATAATAATATGTCACTTTGATGTATTGAGTCTATATCATGTATTGGTTTCATGTTTTAAGTTGAATTACAGAAATAAGTGAACTTTTGGACAATATTCTAATTTTCCAAGTTTAAATCCAGGTGGTATTTAAGTGATCACCAGGGTTTGTCTACTTGACTGTGATAAATATAACTCAAAAAGTTATGGGAAGATTTGAATGAATTTCAGAAAGATTTAACAACTGATTCAGTTCTGAAGCAGATCTGAATCACTTCCTGGATGCACCCTGTAGACGAGGGCTTTTACAATACTATACAATTTATTCTTTAATTGTTATTTTTTATTCTTTTAACTTTTCTAGTTAAACTCTCAAATAAGATTTTCTGATTTTCTATTGCTATAAGAATAGGAAAGGAATTGGCAAAGTATTGACTGTGGGCCTTCCCAGGCAAGAAGTCAAGAGAGAATTACTTTAAGTGAAAATAGAGTAGAGCAGGGGTCTCCAACCTTTTTCAATCGGAGAGCTACTTTTATACAAACAAACAGGCAGAGAGCTACTCCTTTTTGCAGTCGGAATAAAAATCGATCTAATAATTGCGACCAAACTCAGAGAACACATATAAAATACACCGTAATACTGTATAACCCTGTATTTATACTTATAATGGAAATGTATTGGGTCAAAAGGTATTTGTTGAAGTGTATTTGTTAAATTCTTATTCCTTTGACGAGCTACCTGTAAGGGGCTGGAGAGCTACAGGTTGGAGACCCCTGGAGTAGAGAGTTGAATAGATTTGTGTTGTCACCTCCTTAAAAAGAAAGAAAATACATTCCTAGTTCAAAGTTGGCGTCAGAAAATACCTGCTTGACTTTCTTCCCCGGTTTATTTGTGTGAATGAATGTTTGTTTATAGGCTGCAGCTAAGGATTATTTTAGTATTAAGCAAGATATTTTTTTCACACAGACTTTTTAACAGAGAAATGGCACCGCAACAGTGATATGTGAAAAAAAAAAAAATTGCAGGAATTGCTTCTGTGTGGTTGATGTTGATGATGTGCCACAGTTTTAAGTAGCCATATGAATTAACTGATTGAGGCGATGAACGTGATGAAAGTTTCAGCCCCAGTTTGTTGAGATGGATTTTTGACACTGATGAAAAGTCTTGTTGCGAAGCATAACTGCCGGCATCAACATTTTCATTGATGGTCTTAAACACAATTCAGTACAGTTGTTTGTGTGGGCTTGGGCTTGTGCTTGCTTCAGTGTGTTCCAGAAAGACGGGGGTTTCTTGGAAAGATCTGAATGTTCGTCGCCTGCAACTACTTTTTTTGCGCTCTAACAATCTTCCACAATACGTCTCTTAAAGCTACACTCGCACATGCACGAGCACACACAGATGCCGCCTCTTCACGAAATCCAATTTTCCTCCTGTCAAAAGTTGGGGTGATGCAGTTTGAAATTGTGTGGATGTAATTTCCCAGTGGGGCCCATGCTGTTATACTCTGTGAGGAAGCATTAGGATCAAACCGCGGCTGTGGGGCTGGAGATGTCGCGGCTGGTTGTTAGTGCAAGGGGCTCGACTTCTGTCTTGACTCGAGTCTTGTTGTTTGTGCCTGTGCAGACAGTGATGGAGTTCCGTCATCCCGATGGCCGCCTTGTTGCCGTGGTGCTGCCGCCGCGAAGCCTGCTGGTGATGAAAGGGGAGAGCCGATATCTGTGGACCCACGGGTGAGCTGCCAGGGAGTCATTTCATCTTGTCGTGAGCCTCGGGTCGATTCACAGTCTATTGAAATGTGACAGCGTCTCCCTCTTCTGATTTTGCAGGGAAGGAATAATAAATGATGTTATGCTTGTCTCTGAGCCATGCATTATTTAGTGAAGATATCTTTACTTGTGTGGCTTTCATAAGCGTCAATATTTACTGCTTGAAAAAGTTAACTATGGAGTAGTATGTGTTTTTTCTCAGTTGATGCAATAGTTGTAGGCATAGTATTGACATTACAACTCATTAAACAAATTTAGATTTATTTTTAAATGAAAGCATAGAATTGTGTTTGTTTATTTATTTATTTCAATTGTGGACATAACAATACATCACCAATTACAATTACATTTCAAATATTTTTTGTCTTGTCAAACAAATGAAAAAGAGTTCAAGACTTTAAGAATGCATTTGGTGATGTCTATGCATTTTATACAGACATTCCAGATGAATACTTTTATGTGGCATGGTATCTGAGTATATACTCCGGTACTGAGTACTGAGTTTCCTCCGGGTGCTCCAGGTTCCCCCATCACCTTTATAGTATGGTATGCTTTTATTTGTGCAAGGACAGCCATGTAAAAAAGAACATGTGCCATAGGTAAAAGGTTCTGACCTAGAGCATCAACAACTTTACCTTTGAGGACAATTAAGTACCATAATATTAAACCTACTTGTATATAATAAATATGTATTCTTCCCCAGAATAACACCTCGTAAATTTGACATGGTTCCCACTGCTGACTCCGGAGGTCCCATTCGCACAGTGTCCAACCTCACACAAAGCAATCTGACTTTAAGCAAGAGGGACACCCGCACCTCATTTACCCTTCGCAAAATCCGCCATGAGCCCTGTGGTTGTGGTAAGAGGTCATTAGAGATCTGCACATTGAATTCACTAATCCAACAATGTTATGTCCTTTGTGAGCTGAAAAAAGGACGTTAACACTGATGGTCTCCCTCAGCCTTCCCCTCGGCCTGTGACAGCCGAGGCTCTCAGTCAGCTCCTCTGCCCTCCTCGCTGGCCCCTCCCACCCTGCCCCGTTGCCACGCCGATGCAGCCCATCTGGAGGAGCAGTATGTGCACCAGGTGTACGATGCCATCGCCTCCCACTTCAGCAGCACGCGGCACTCTCCGTGGCCCCGGGTGTGTGACTTCCTCCGCGCTCTGCCTCCTGGAAGCGTGCTGGCTGACGTGGGCTGTGGGAACGGGAAGTACTTAGGGGTCAACCCACAGGTGGCGGCGGTGAGTCTCGTCTCTCGTTTCATGCCTCAATTTATGGGTGTGTAGGCAGCCTGTCTCTAAACTAAACTAATTTGATTGATTTTATATTGGTTAATGAGAAGAAGGGACAAAAACAATAGATTTTAGCTTAGTGAGCTGTACATGATTCATTACTGCTGTTTTGATTGTAAGTAAGAATACTGTAATAACATTATTATCATAATTATTTTTATTAGTATTATAGAATTGGAAAAAATTACTAGCCAAAAATCCAAACTAAAATCACTTTAACAGACAACACACGTTAATGCTCTCAACACTTCTTATTAACTGAATAATATCTACATTTTACACTACATCTTTTATACGTGTCCACAGATAACAGCCACGTGTACAAAGCACATCTGGCCGTTGTTCATTAAATTATAGTATCCTTATATCTTAATTATTGTCAATTATCTGTTTGAACTGTTTAGATGGGTTGTGACCGCAGCAGTGGCCTCACCCACATCTGCGCAGAGAGGGGTTTCCAGGTGTTTGTGTCTGATGCCCTGAGCGTTCCTTTGAGGACGGCCAGCTGTGACGCATGCATCTCTATCGCCGTCATACATCACTTTTCAACTCCGGTAACTGAAACGCTTCTCACAAACTAATGATGCAATGTGGCACCTGTTTCCATGTGGTTATTTTCACAACTACAGACACTAATAAAAGCCTTACTGCAATTGTGGTTGTGGATGTCCGTACACTCTGCCGAATAAGTAGCTGTATTATGTTTAAATGTTCAATAACGTATCAAGAGAAAACATTACATTGAACTAACTTTCAGTCACTGTGATTAGTTGAAGGTTCTTTTCTACTGAGTCAAAATATAAATAGACAAAGGTTAAAGCATCATCTAATCATATCTTTCCTTTGTGTTTTGTTTTTCCTCACGCAGAAGCGACGTATTGAGGCTGTATGTGAGCTTGTCAGACTACTCAGACCAGGCGGCCAAGCACTTATCTACGTATGGGCCTTTGAACAAGAGTACAACAAGCAAAAGTCAAAATATCTAAAAGATTCCAAAGACAGTATTTCTACTGAACATGGCTCCAATGGCGAGTCAAGCGCTCAGAGAATCAAAAGTGTTGAAGATGGTGATATTGAATCAAACATGTCGTCCCCTCCAAAAGTCACTCAAGGTCGATTAAGTGTGCACACAAACCGCACGGCCTTTAATACTCAGGACCTTTTGGTTCCATGGCATCTCAAAGATGGAAAGAGAGAACATGTGAAAGAAGAAACTCAAGGTTGCCAAAAAAACAGTACTGCTTCAATTAAGACTGGAAATGAGCCACCTTCCCCAGGATTACAGGACAAATCACAGTCATCGACTGCTGCTGTCTCAGCTCCAGTCTTCCATCGCTATTACCATGTGTTCCAGAAGGGAGAGCTGGAGCAGCTTTGTGGACAGGTGGCTGGAGTGAAAGTACTGAGCAGTTACCATGATCAGGGAAACTGGTGTGTAATTCTACAGAAGGACTTGGAGTAGCGTGCAAAGTATCTTTTTACAAACGTTCCTTTTATTTATTTCTTTTAATAAACATATCTAATAACTATTTGACATGGTTTCCGATGTACATTCTTGTTACTGAACTACTGAACTTATATATCGATTTAGTCCCACTAGTCTTGTAACCGGAGAGGGTAAACTGACCCACACATTTAATTGGCATAGTGCAAATAATTCATTGTGATGTATTTGCTTCAGCGCCCCCTGTTTGTATCTAAGAAAACTACCACGAAATTAGATTACGACATTGCCTTTTGCTTTACGGCAGTCATGGCGGCGTACGGCGGCAGCTTCGAGAGCGTGAGCAGCATCGAAGAAAGAAAAGAACTCAAGCGACAGGCTCGACAGGAGGCTGTAGACAAGGTTTTTATAACAGGAGACTTGTACCGTGCGTCTGGATGTGGAGGGAGTGTGCCGAGTGTGTACAGCTGGCTAAAACAGGCGATGCTAACGAAGCTAACAGATTATCATAAATAAAAACAATCCAAACCAAGGCAATGTTATAACATATTATTAACAGTGGTTTATGAACATGCACTCCTTCTCTGGTGATGTAAACTGTGCATGTGAATGAGCTTTAGACATACAGAGGGTATACACTGGTTACAATCTGCTGTCCACTGGTGTACAGTTGGAATAATAATAATAATAATATAGTGTCATGCACCTGTACAGTCCAGGGATTGTTCCTGGTAATCGTTTTATGATGCAGTATAACTAAGTGTTGAGGATGTTTGAACACTAACACAGCCGAATGAGATTCTGTTTATTGACTGTAAACATCTATTAAACCTATATGAAAGGCCTTTTGTCAGTACAAACAAACATATATAGGTGCATGATACCCCTGGGCCCTAGAAGAACGTATTTAACTCAAAGCAGGAACTTGTATAACATTGTAGTACATTAACTACTGTTTATCTTGTCCCATTAGGTCCATTTGGTCTCCTGAAACAGATTTTCAAATAGTCTTCTTGTCAGGAATTAACCAGACAGAGACGGATCGTGGTGCGCTAAAGCTCTGGAAGTTTATTAGGTTTCTCTCAAGTTCCAGTGGTTTCAGTTGTTTCTTTCCTTCCAGGAAGAATAAAGGCAGCACATGGTTTTATAGTCATTGTTACGTCACACATCGAAAGACAGTACGTGTCAAATCAGAGGCACACTCAGAGCAAATCATAGTCATAACATGGATGCACAATCAAAGTCCTTGTAGCATCGTCTTGCGCTTGTCCTGCACATAGGCCAAAAAGTTTTCTAATGCTCACATTCTTCAGAGAGAACTGTCCATCCCAGGCACCTGATTGGGCTGGATTGCCTTACCAAAATTTCATCCCACCATCATCAGTTGTCCTTAGTCCACTCCACACACTGGGATTTACCATGCCTCCGCTCTGCACAGACAGTGCACTCAATGAATGAATGAATGAATGAATGAATGGGTGAATGAATGAATGAATGAATGAATGGGTGAATGGGTGAATGAATGAATGAATGAATGAATGGGTGAATGAATGAATGAATGAATGAATGGGTGAATGGGTGAATGAATGAATGAATGAATGGGTGAATGAATGAATGAATGAATGGGTGAATGGGTGAATGAATGAATGAATGGGTGAATGAATGAATGAATGAATGGGTGAATGAATGAATGAATGAATGAATGGGTGAATGAATGAATGAATGAATGAATGGGTGAATGAATGAATGAATGAATGAATGGGTGAATGGGTGAATGAATGAATGGGTGAATGGGTGAATGGGCAGCTCCTTGGTGCTTGTGCTGTAAATACTTTGGATGCTTTGGTTTTCTTCATTATTAATATTCAGCCACTTTGCTGTATCTGTTATGATTTTATAACAAGACATCAATGACAATCCAATTGAAACGTGTAAAACATGCAATTTAAAGTACCGCATTCAATTATAGTAAATAAAGTTACAAGCAAAGTTAAGACAGATCACAAACTGCTGCTTAGAACGAGAGATGGAAGCTTCTAAATAATCAAATATTATAAAATATCTTCACCACAAATTATATATTTTCCTGGTATTTCCACAATCTGCACCTACAGTCACACAGCTCTTTTAAAAACATGTGTCACAAAACATGACATATTCCCCCAATCCTCTCCAGCATAGAATGACTTTTAAAGCAATGTTTATCTCATGTCGTGAGTTATATTCACTTCTGATGAGTTTGACATGAATGAGGAGTCTTGAGTGAACTTGAATAATAATACTGTAACACCATGACCTTTTGAATACAGGCCAAGCAAAAATATGAAAAAGAGGAAAAGAAAAAGGAACTCAAACGACTTCGAGGGGAGGACACTTGGATGCTTCCCGAAGTTAACCAACGGCTGCAAGAAATCGAAGCGGTAAAGCGTGATGTTTGTCCTCCGTTAAAACCTTTTGTCTAAGTTTGTTGGACTTCTCAGGAATCGTCTTTAAAGAAAAAGAAAAAAGAGAAGAAATCCAAAAAGAAAAAAGAGAAGAAGGAGAAAAATAAAAAATCCAAGAAGGAAAAGTCGTCAGCTGGGGATGGATCCAGTGGCAGCTCAGAGGTACAGGTCTCGTCAAAGTCTACTTCTACATTATTTCAAGTTTTGTTCTTGAATTTAACTCTGTTTGCTATTCTGACAGGACTCTGGTGATGAGTGGGTTGAAGCCCAGTCTTCGGCTAAAGCATGGCAAGTTCCTGATGAGGCTAAACCAGAGGACAGCTCTAATGCAGGGCAGAATATACAGGTAAAGACTGGGGGTGTGCTAAAATAAATACATTGATTTTATATACAATTTTAAATCCAAATGTGTTTTTACTTTGATATTTAGTAATAATATATATTTTTTAAATGGATATTTTGTAGTCAGAAGCAAACAGATGCATGAAGCCACGAAGACAATAAATAAATAAAGTAAAATGAGGCTAAGAACTAGGTTAGAGGACAAAAGTATGTTTTACTGCATCGTTTCAAACTGCTTGGATATGAATGGAATTGCCTAGTAAAGATTAAGTAAAAACTGTATGGGATAATTACTGTTTTGAATCATTTTGCAGAGGGATGAATGGATGACCTTTGATTTTCTGGCCATGCAAACTACATCTACCACTGAGAAAAGAGCGGCAAAAGAAAAGCAAAAAGAAGAGGAGAGAGCCAAGGCGGAGGCAATCGAGCAGGTGCGGAAACATCGGGCTGTCTTGTCACATTTGCCCCGTGTTGGGTTTTATCAGCGCATCTTCATATTGATGTTTTTGACTGTATATATTGACCGATAAGGCTTATGTGTGGTTAATGTAGATTTATTCAAAGTTTGACTTGTTCATAGCTGATTTTATAAGCAGATTACTTTGGTTTTTCTTTGTTGTTTTTTTTGTTAAGGTTGCAAGTAAACAGAGGGTTGGTGCTAATGCTAATGCAGACCTTATTATAGTCCCTAACTAATTTATAATGAATCACATAATGCCTTGAGGGAATTGATTTATTTAAAAGAAGACAAGAGGAACAAAATGTTGACACCAAGATATTTGTGGAAAGTTTATTTATAGCTCACAGCTTTTGCATCTCTGGTTATTTTTGTGTATATATATCTCTTTTTTTTAAGGGAGGCACGGCTAGCGCAGAAAGTAGAAAGAAGGTCCTAGGTTTGATTCCACCCTTTTTTGTGTGGAGTTTTCGCATGTTCTCTCCATGTCTGCGATGCGTGAGAGGGAAAAAGAAGCACTTTGTGACTCTCAGTCTGTGAAAGGCGCTATATTAATAAACAATACTTGCCCACTATGTAGGTATTTTAAACAAATGATGATTTCTATTGATTATGGTTTTGTATTTTCTTTGTGGTACTTTTTCTTTCTAGCAAGATAAGTACAGGTATGCTTAGATTGAAACCAAACTGGACCAAAGGATAATTGAGTTTGGTTTTTCTGATGGGCTATATGCACGGGGAGGCGTGACGTCATTTCCTGTTAACGCAGATCAGCCCTTTCACTTCCTGCCTATGCTATCCTATGGTTTTTAGGCGGGTTTTAGTGACGTTTTTTAGTAATTAGATCGATACATTCAGCTGAGACTGACCCAAAAGTGTCACTGTGCTTTCTCTCTGAGGTAGAGCTTTGACTGTGACCACTCAGAGAGATTTGTAAACTTTATAAAAACACAATGACAGCACAATCAAAGAGCACTGCTGTGTCCCAAAAATGCCCAGTATCCTACAGTTTAATTCCCGTCTGAGCATTATTTGGGAAACTCGTGTAAACCACTGCTGAACTCCAGTGAAACTCAAGCCGTTCCCGCAAACAGGAAGTGAAGTGGGGTAGTAGCTAAAACGCGGAAGTGGTGCGTGCATAGAACCCATTGCGTTGGGTTAATTGTTTTTAGTATAAATTAATTATGTGGTTGTTGTCCTGGGAAATGTATCTTAAGATGAGCTATAACTAGGGCTGCACGATATATCGCAGAAATATTGTTATCACGATATTGGTGCGTGCAATTTCCATATAAAAATAAAATGTGCGATCATTTTTTTAATTTTTTTTTTTTAAATATAAGCATTTGAAGGTCATTAATGTTGTGCCTTTTTTTTGTTATTTGTCTCTTGCGTTTCAATGCAGATTGCAATTTTAGGTGAAAGACAAAAATATCGCAATAATATCGTTATCGCAATACTAAACACTAATTTCACTAAACTCTAATTTCCATTATTGTGCAGCCCTAACATGACATGTGAGCATTTCGTCCGGATGGGAAGAGGTTAAGGCCGTGAAATATTTTGACCAGATATATATCGACCAACCCTATATACATCCATCGATCTCATCTCGATTTTCAAAACAGCCAACTACTCGAGTTTTACTTCTGATCAACAATGCAACAGTGCAGGCTCTCTTCTAATCTCCACTTGACACGCTTGGTTCTGCACAGTTTAATTAGAATGTCTTCTCCAGGCTGGCCTTCACAAATTGGAACTAAATCCCTTCTGGAAGGACGGAGGCAGCGGTCTTCCCCCAGAGCAGGCCGCAGCCACAGCGGTCCACAAAGGTACCACTCTTTCTGAAGTGTGTCTTTCGGGCGAGATAACAGTCCTTGCTCATAAGGTAATCCCTCAGTTTTCACAGATGAACGCACAAGTTTAATTTAAAAGTCAGGCATTGAGGGATTATCTTTTTATTGCTATGAGGCTTTACTGAATAAAGAATAGATAAGTTTTATATTAACTTGAACGCACAATGGAACCGAACTTCATTTTTAGTGCAGTTGAAGCACAGTTACTACTTCGAGTGCTGTGGATGAAAGAATAATGTTCAAAATCTTCTTATTTTTTTTGTGTGGCCATAGCTTCGGTGGCCAATGATGGTGGTCTGAGCTGGCTGAGAAAGAGCTATCAAAGGATGAAGGAGCAAGCCGAAAGGGAACAACGCGACCTTGAGGAGATTGTGTCTGAACGATATGGGGTATTTCTAATCTTTGTTTGAAAATGCGTTTTTATATTTACACACACAGACAACAAAGTCAAGTTATCTGTGGTCAGAGTTGTGGCCGTATTCTTAAGATAGATCTTTTTTGTTAGAGGTTGTGTGAGCTGCCTTTGACTGTAAAAAAAATTTGACTTACTGCTACACAAAACATTTAAATAACGTGTTTGAGAATAGAAACACGGCATCCTTAAATTTGGAGGACTTTACAATGTTGTCGATTCATTAACAACAGAACACAGGAAATGCAACAAAAACAAAAACATAGGAGCCATTGGTCCACAGGGAATGGAATGACTAATGTTAATAAATGTCCATAGATCACATTGTCCGTTTGGCAAAGAGGAATGGGCATCAGAGAGTCTAAAGAAACTCATCCACAACTACCACCAAAGACTCAAAACTGTCATAGAGGTTAAAGAAGCAATACACACTGAGAACTTGGGGATGGAAACTTACTATTGTCATCGTCATTTGAAAATAGAACACTTTTATTTGACACTAAATGGCTTCACACCACATCCAACATAGCCTGACCTTATCCATCCGTACACTCCGCTCAATCATCATTTCACTTCATGTAACGTCTGGGTCTGGTCCCTGTGTTAACGATTACAATCGGTGGAATTTTGACTGACCATTCACAGAGCGCGGAAGGCAGGTGTTGTAGTTAGTTGTGGGTGACGTCAAGAGTTTGCGTCTAACGGGCAGGTTGTAGATTGGCAATGGCGAAAAATGCGATAGTAAAGTAATCCGGTCTGGTTCTATCAAGAAATTGAAGCCGGAGCAAGAGGAATGTTTAGCAAATGTAATCTGTGGAAAAAATTGTGGCGCTACTCCCCACGGGCTCCGTTAGCGGCAAAGGAGATGGCTAGGCTAAATGCTAAATGCTAACAACAGACTCGGGCGCATTACATACGTCACGGTAAACTCAGATCCATCAATCCATTTTCTTCCGCTTTATCCGTTGCCGGGTCGCGGGGGCAGCAGTCTAAGCAGAGACGCCCAGACTTCCCTATCCACACACACTTCCTCCAGCTCGTCCGGGGGGACCCCAAGGCGTTCCCAGGCCAGCTGAGAGACATAGTCCCTCCAGCGTGTCCTGGGTCTTCCCCGGGGCCTCCTCCCGGTGGGACGTGCCCGAAACACCTCCCCAGGGAGGCGTCCAAGAGGCCTCCGGAACAGATGCCCGAGCCACCTCAACTGGTTCCTCTCGACGTGGAGAAGCAGCGGCTCTACTCCGAGCTCCTCCCGTGTGACTGAGCTCCTCACCCTATCTCTAAGGGAGCGCCCTGCCACTCTACGGAGGAAGCTCATTTCGACCGCTTGTATCCGCGATCTCGTTCTTTCGGTCATTACCCAAAGCTCATGACCATAGGTGAGGGAGGGAACGAAGATTGACCGGTAAATTGAGAGCTTTGCCTTTCGGCTCAGCTCCCTCTTCACCACAACGGTCCGATACAGCGACCGCATCACTGCGCACGCTGCACCGATCCGCCTGTCAATCTCACGCTCCATCCTCCCCTCACTCGTGAACAAGACCCCGAGATACTTGAACTCCTCCACTTGAGAAAGGACCTCTCCACCCACCTGTAGAGGGCAAGGCACCTTTTTCCGGTCGAGCACCATGGCCTCAGATTTGGAGGTGCTGATTCTCATCCCAGCCGCTTCACACTCGGCTGCAAACCGTCCCAGTGCATGCTGCAGGTCCTGGTTTGTTGGAGCCAACAGGACAACATCGTCTGCAAACAGCAGGGATGAAATCCTGTGGTCTCCGAACCGGACCCCCTCCGACCCCTGGCTGCGCCTAGATATTCTGTCCATAAATACAGTGAACAGAACCGGTGACAAAGCGCAGCCCTGGCGGAGGCCAACATGCACCGGGAACAGGTCTGACTTACTGCCGGCAATGCGAACACAGCTCTGGGACTGGATGGCCCTCAGCAGAGGACCCCCCCCAAAGTACACCCCGGGGAACACGGTCGAACGCCTTCTCCAAATCCACAAAGCACATGTGGACAGGTTGGGCGAACTCCCATGAACCCTCGAGTATCCGATGGAGAGTATAGAGCTGGTCCAGTGTTCCACGGCCGGGACGAAAACCACACTGCTCCTCCTGAATCCGAGATTCGACCATCGGCCGTAGCCTCCTCTCCAGTACCTTGGAGTAGACCTTACTCTAACTTAATCGTTTCAATCTGCAAAAGGAGTTAAACGGAGCTCAATGGAGCACCTCCAGACCTTAGTACGAAATGTAATTTGTACTATGGTGTGGTACGACCAGGCTACATCCAACAGTGAGTGAAAAAATTGTTTTTGCGTTTGTCATTTACAATTGTTGAACTATGGCCAAAGAATTTACATTTCTGCCTGGATTTGTGATTTTTCAAAGCACAACTGTACATGTATGCTTTTATTTTTTTAGTCTATGGAAGAGTTTCAACAAAGACTCGCCGAAGCTGAAGAAGCTGTTTACGGAGAAAGAAGAAGAGGAGGAGAGGGCTCACGACGAGGTGGATGGAGACGAGGGGAGGAGGAGGACAGACGGAGAGGGTCAGAACGAGAGCGATGGAGACGGCCTGATCGTGACTCTTCCCCGGGACGTTCACACAGAGACAGAGAGCGGCGTGACGACAGATACAGACGCAGCGACCACGACAAGGACGGTTACAGGGCAAGAGACCGAGACCGAGACAGACGACACAGGGAGCGGGATGGAAATGCAGACAGAGGTGGGCCGAAGGACAGAGACAGAGACAGAGACAGAGACAGAGGGAAGTCCGGTTCAGCCGCTTCTGGTGAAGACTGGAGTCCACCTCTGGCTTTGGGATCGCTAAAGGCCAAATTCCTCAAACCATCAGAAGAGGAGAGCGCTCCTGGTAGGTTACTCAACAGAAAATCAACATACAGCTTACACTACATTTAGATATATATATACCTTTTAATATAGTAAATTATGTTATAGGTTTTTAAACAGTGGCTTTCAAAAGTACTAACTAAATTTGAACTTTTGCATATTTTTGTCATGTTTACGACCACAAACATAGATTTTATTTTCTGTATATGCACTTTTTGCAAGACCACAACAAGGAACAAGTGGACAGTGAAAACAAAATGATACATGCTTTTGACGGTTTTATTGCATATATGAACATGCAAAACCCTCAGTCTTCAGATGTGCAAAGGTTTCAGAGGCATACCCTAAAATACTACTTATATACTTACATAACAAAACTTCATTTATTTTCAATGAACCACTCAAGTAGAAAATATACATGTTGAAACAAATATCCAGGGTAAACAAAGTTATCTGCCTGCCCTATCCCTACGCTACCAGCCATTACCAGCTCATTTGTCATTTACCCAAGACAATACCCAAACTAATTTATGATTTGTAGTTTTGTTTTGAAAGGTAGAAAACTCTTCTGAGTGTGATGTCAGAGTTGCTGACATTATTACATAGTTAGTTTTAGACATCTTTGTGCTATAAACCAACTCCAGGTCTGTTTTTGATGAGAGAACAGTGTTGAAACGTGCTCAAAAAAGTAGATTTTTGTATCTCTTTTTAGTGATAAAAAACATATATTGTTATTGGTATCCCTCATAACAGTTGAATGATGACATTTATTTTTCGTGCAGCTCCAGACAGGCGGCGTCCACCAGCCAAGTTGTCTGCTTTTCTTAAACCCAGCTCTGATGATGAAGACTCTGGTCCTGCATGGAAGAAGTCCAGCGGTTCTGGAACCCATCATCAGGAAAAGAGTCAAGAACGAGAAGAAAAAATTCTAAATGTGGAGAAGCATGCTACAGTATCAACCAGGTATAATTCTGAGTGGCCTTTTGTTTTCACATTATTAGACTGCAAATAGATGGACAATAGATGGTCGCTAGTGCTCGTGGAAGAAATGTTGCTCCATCTTCATCTCCATCTTGACTCGCTTTGAAAACTAAACTTTTCAGACTCGGTAACTGTTTGTGTCACTCTTACCACTTTGGGTTTAGCTCTTTTCATTGTTTTGTTGTTTATTTATTTCAAACATGCACGAGATACAAACAATTATTCACAGGAAAAATGATTATAAGAGAAAACAAGAAAACCTGTGGGTGGTTTAAAAAGAGATTGGTCAATGCAAAAAGCTTACGTTAATCCAATCATCCCACATCCATTCAGACATATATCATAATACAATCAAAAAAAAATTCTGGTGATCCTGGTGTTTTCATTTTGATATTGACTTTTTAAATCCAGATATGAGCCATAAGTATTGACCAATCAGATGCCTTTATTCACCAGGGAAACTCCAGCTTGCCTTAGCAACCATGTTAGCAACACGTGTGACCCCGTTACGCCGCAAAGCTAACTCTGAACAAATGCCCATATAAGTAATTTGGCTCCAGTTTGCTTGTGTTAAAATCGGCTTCTTCCACATTCAGCAAACTCTGTCAGTCCACTCCTTATGAACAGTCTCTGGTTTTCAGTTATAAAAAATAAATAAAAAAGTAAGCGAAGCGCGTTTTGTTGCCATTTTATGCTTTAAGTACCTCAAAGAAGACAATATTTTCTCTCAGTAACTTTGCATCCACGACACTTATGCTAACAGACTTCAGTCGCACTCTCGGCGGCGGCGGTGTTGCTGAGCAGATGCATTAGGCCGCTGTGTTTTGGCTCATTACACTGAGTTGTTTGGGGAAACCAGCACCAGAACCCCCACAGCATGAAACCAGTGAGCGTCGCAGCAGCATAATGAAATGAGCCAACGAGAAGGGAAACCGCCTCGGAAAAACGCTCCTAGTCCACAATGCTCCTCCTCCTCCTCCTCCTCCTCCTCTCAGGCGCGCTTGTAACCATCTCTCACGGCTGCACGGTTACCAAATCAACCAGAACAGATCAACACTCTAATAGCGGCCATGGAATAAGATTAAGATGAAAAGATCCTTTATTCGCCCCACAACGGGGAAATTTCAGTGTTGCATTACAAGTTACAGAACAGTAGGAATGAGGAGAACACAGATAAAATATAATGACCTTTCTAACTCTAGCATAAAAAGAAGCAGTATAAAATCTCTATCTTTAGCAGAATAAGGAAATAAGTCTTATAATCTCAAACTTTAGCTTGATGAAGAAGCAAGATTTATGTACAAAACTCTTAACTTTATCATAATAAGGAGCATAATAAGTATAAAATGTTGTATATTCTAGTGCAAGTTTTTTTTTTATGCACTGTGATTATTTATGATTTTAATGCTTTCTTGTTCTGTTCAGCACTTTGAATTGCCTTGTGTATGAATTGTGCTATACAAATAAACTTGCCTTGCCTTGCCTAATGTATAGTTGTGTGCATACATCTGTACATGGTCGCAGCAGGAGGGTAAGGGACAAAGTGACAAAGTAAAGGGACAGTAACACATGTGGTTCCATATTGTACATTCTGGCATTGCTAAAGTTATTATCGCAAAGATGAGTAAATTCTGTAATCTCCCTGTCTCCTTTTCTAGCAAACCTGAGAGTGAGTCTGAAGAAGAGGAGGAAGTTCCGTTGCTGTCCGAGGAGGAGATGAACAAGCTGGGAGCAAAGCTGGTGAAGGCTGAGCTTATGGGAAACACGGTTAGTTTTTTTGTTTTTTTTGGTCTAAAATAATGTGTCAAACTATTCTCTTTGAGATTTAGTGATTAGTTTAATGTTTTAAACACGTTAGAGTTCACGGTTGAGTGGTCTATAAGCGCTGCCGTAAATGAATGGCCTTTATCGATCCATGCACTCAACTGGGCCTGTCTGCCTTCACATGTTAAGAGGGCTATTGGGATCTTTTATTGCGGGTGTGAAAAGTACACGCACACACAGACACACACACACACAAAGTCTATGACATCCAATGGCTCCCTACACGACAAAGCAATCACCTCGTATTCCCAGGCTTTTCATGTGGATGTGTGCTAAGTGCACTTGACTCCAGTGTCTGCATCTATTGATATTTGCCGCACTGGACCTGTGAAAACGTGAATGTTTTCAATAGGTCTGTTTCAACTTCTCACATTTAAAGATGCAGTCAGTGATTTTTTTCCAGACAGATTTTTTTTTTTTTATATTGTGGGAAAACGTCCCTAAATCCTAAAAGTAGTCAAGTATTCATGTGCTTTCAAATAGTAAGGGAATTGACCAGATGCCTATGGTCTCCGAAAATGTATACAAAATGTTTTGGAGCGGACTGATAAAAATAAACCAATGGGATTCGCTCATCCCCAACGAACCAATGGGATGTGTTTACCCCCTTCACTTTCTTCCTGTTTCCCGCAAGTGTGCACACCTGAGTTTTTCTAAAACCTATAAGGGCTGAACAGAAAATGCCAATTTCACGTTTGCCACCCATTCTCCCTGTTCCAAAGAAAAGAAGATGCTTTATGTTTGGTTTGGTGGAGAGGTGAGGGGAGGGGGGAGTGGTTTCCAGTTGGTGCTACGGCTAAGCTAACAACATCGCTTACTGCACCTTTTAAGCCACATTTATGATTTTTATTGTTGTATGTTTGGGATGGATGAGCATGAAATGTTTTACTTACATTTGTTCTATGTTTAAATTGATGCCCATTGATGTCTTGGCTTTTGAAAATATTCCAGGCTATGATCGAGAAGTTGAAGTCCCAATTGGATTCCGCACGAGAAGCCAAAGAGAGCCATGCAGCTCGGAGGAAGTTACAGCAGGAGACGGCCAAAGCTAACAAGGTAAGAATATAAAACACACAGAGCATTGAGAGGGAACTTTGCTTTACACAGAAGAACTCGGCTTGCTCTAAAACTTGTCCCAACAACTGTTTTTTCACGCCGGCTTTCACCACTTTGCTTCTAGACCCAGTCAAGTGAAGCCCAGGAGGTGTTACTGTTTCGAACTGACCAATCAGGACGAGCCTGGCCTGTTAACGCTCCTGCTGGGTCTGTGGAGCCGCATGGGGGACGCCGCAAGAAGAAAGCTGTAAGAATTTTCAAATACATTTCAATTAATTTTACTTTTGTATCGCCCAAAATCACAACAGCAGTCGTCTCAAAGGATTTTACAAAGTTGCAGATTCAGTTCCAACACAGATAATGTAATAATAACAAACACATAGTTTAGGGAGCAGGATGACTAATGTCCTGGATCATCACCACTGTCTTTAGACCCTCCTACTTCAGCAAAGGAAGATCAAAGCCGAACAAACGACTAAACCTGATGCTGGTGGTCAGAAAAAAGCAGATCATTATGCAAAATACTGTGTTGCATCCATTTGTGTTTTGCTGTGCAGATTGAGACTCACGTGGAAGGAGAGCGCGTGAGATATTTCCAGGATGACGACAACATGGGTCTGCAGGAGATGGTTCGCAGAGAGAAGATGAGCACTGCCCAAGACCAGAATGCTCTGTACTCCCGAATGGCCGCCAAGGTGGGTACTGTCTTAACGCTCACTACAATAATGAAAGAATATCTGTTATCTGCCGTATCTACAGTTATTAATGAAATAATCCTAATAGACATCATTTTAAAATCAAAAATCGTATATTGGGACACAGGGTCTGCCCTTGGAGTCTTTCTAATGTCCATAAAGTGATTACAAACCCCATATAAACTCTAAACTCGTGTTGTATGAAGCATTTTCTGAGTTTGAGAAGATACAAAAGTAAACTGCTGCTAGAATGAATAACTGAGAAAATAGTTCTAAGTCCATGAGTCGGCTATTTTAAAAAGCAGAGCATTTTTCCATGTCGTTTGTGGATTCATCTGGACCACACATTTCCACCATACTATCCTCTCACACAGCAAGACACGCATGCTAACAATAATAAGCACACATTCAGCACCTACAAAGTGTCTCTAAAAATACATCTACAGTTACCATGGAGAAGTGTCTATAAATATCACTTCTAATCACAGCTATAGATTTATGATCTTCAATAACTCCGTCTCTCTCACTAGACTTTCCTGACGTGCCCTTCTTTTCCTGTCTATTATTTCATCCATCATTCTCTTCATCTTTGAACGAGTTATATGAGTTTACTTGTGACTATAAAATGCTGACAAGTACAAACTGGTAATCTCTTGCATAACATGACACACACTAGTATATTTATGTTTTTTGGGTTTTAAAACGGCTATAGCTTTTATTTAGTTGTGTGGTAATTATAAGTACAGTACATGCATCTAGAAGAAAGAATAAAAGGCAAAACACAGGGAATGAATAGCTGTATTAAATATTGTTTAGAAAATGCCTCCATAAATGACTCAAATTGAGATAACATTTTTTTTTTTTATCTCAATTTGTGTGACTAGGTTTTTGAAATATAATTGTAATGTTGTGTATTGTCACGTCCACAATGGAAATAAATAAATTAAAAAATCAAACAGAATACCACAATTACCCCACTGTTTGATTGGAGTTGAAGACCAGCTAATAATTAGATTAATAATACAGTTTCTGGGTTTGAAATGAAATGGTCCGGAGCACTCTCACTCCCACACACACAGTCATGCACACGCTCTGGCCTCACTCTCTCACACTCGGAGCCAAAGCTTTTGCTGGTCACCATGGTGATTACACTCGGACAGGGCACCAGACGAGGCCCTGCATGTTAACATCATACACCAAAATAAAGTTTGGCCATTAACAAACAGATATTTTGAACTTGGTTTTGGAAAGCTGCTTTAAAGTCGCTGGAACTTCCTGGTTTTAGTCAGGACTTCAGCTACAGTTCTTCTGAATACATTAGATTTTATAGCAGCTCCTGAAGAGTGCGCTGAGCAGGCCGTTACTGTTGTCCAACCTTATCAGTGATGAAGATTGTCGCTAAATGGAATAATGTTGGTGCATAATCTGATTCTCGTGCTTCACAAGTGCACATTGTCTGAGAGCCACCAGTGTGTAACAGTATCCCCACTGTTGTGACTCACAAAAGGCTCCAGGAACTTGCTTCTCGGATCCCTATTGTTGCATCACTCAAAAGAACACTTTATTCTCGATGCCCGGAGGCCCAAATCCAACTTTTGTAAAAGTTCTACTCGCAGACTAATACATTATTCAATCATGATAACTATGGTGATAAAAACACATATCTAGGACTAAAGTCAAAATGAAAAGAAATACTTGCTGCTAACTTTTGTCTGACTGCACCGTGGCTCTTTCCCAATCTTCCTTACGGCCTCTGCAGATGATGGGGAAGACAGACGGAGATAACTACACGTTGGATGACATGTTTGTGTCGAGCGCTGCACAGCGAGAGGGTGAGGGCAGGGAGGAGGAGAGGATGAGGAACCGCGCCATTGGGGAGACCCGACAACTGGCCGCCTTCATGGAGAAATGCAGACACTGTTTCAGCAGCCCAGAGCTCCCAAAGCACCTCATAGTGGCTCTCGGAACCAAGGTAGCAGAACGAATACCGGGAGTATACAATATTTTACATGACATTATATTATGCTTTTTTAAACCTGTTTTTTTTAGGCATATTTGAGTCTTCCCGCTGGTGTGTCCATGAGCGAGGGCCACTGCCTCATCTGTCCTCTTCAGCACCACTGCTGTGCCACAGGGATAGATGAAGACGTCTGGGCTGAGATGCAGGTGAGACACTGCTCAAATATTATACAGATTGTCTAAGCCTTAACATAATTCATTTTTACAGGACATAAACATATTTCTGATTCTGAATAATTCTGAACTTCTTATTTTAATAAACATTTCTTTAGCTTTTCCGTCGCGCTTTGGTGCGAATGTTCGAGTCCCAAGATTTGGATTGTGTCTTTTTGGAGACTCATATGAATCCAAGGAAAAGACACCACATGGTCCTGGAGTGCATCCCACTTCCCAAAGAACTGGGCGATATGGCACCGATATATTTCAAGGTATTTCCCTTAATAACGTTTGGTTTCATCTGAACTCGAATCCATTTGAATGTATATGTGCTTTTTTATTGTTAGAAAGCCATTATGGAATGTGATGAGGAATGGGCCATGAACAAAAAAGTGGTGGACCTTTCTTCCAAGGACATTCGCCAAGCTGTATGCCGTCTTTCTTTCTGTTACTTGAATATATTCGCTCACAAGTCGGTGGAGTAGGTTTGTGAAAAGTTTGCTCTCTCTGAAAGGTGCCGCGAGGACTGCCCTATTTTGCTGTAGACTTTGGAATGCAGGGAGGCTTCGCTCACGTCATCGAAAACGAGCAGAAATTCCCCCACTACTTTGGGAAGGTTAGTAAAAGCCGCGTGGAGGAAGTGGAGATTGTGTTTTGACCAAATCGGATCTGTTATTTAGAAGCGTTTTTGTGTGTACAGGAAGTGGTTGGTGGTATGATGGACTTGGAGCCTCGTCGCTGGAGAAAATTGATAAAAGAGAATTTTGATGATCAGCGGAAGAAAGTTCTTCAGTTTGCTCAGTGGTGGAAGCCGTATGATTGCACCAAGACTGACTGACTCCTTTGTTTACAATGTTACATTAAAGCTGGGAGACCTAACTTTCAAATCGTGAATTTAACTTGTGTAATGGCATTCTCTGACCTGCTTTCAAATCGCCCTCAGCCAATCAGCTCTCAGCCTAAAGTGTTAAATAGTGACACACTGGGCTCATGCAAAATGGGTTTTCTCATAAGACGGCAGGATTACTTTTATACGACTATTTCTGTAATTTGTTAATTAGGAAAAAAAAGTCAGGCACCCCAGCTTGTTCCGAGTGTGTATGTTGTGTAGATTATTCTAATAAATTGGTAATTTTATAATTGGTACTATTATTTTTGTTTTATTTTGAACAATACAAATGAACCATGAATTAGACTGGACAAAACAACAAATACTGCGGGAGGCATTAAAAATTAGAAATATAAAAAAAAATCAATGTATCTATATATTTCTGTTTGAACACAGGAAATGCAATAACAACATACACATAGGAGTCTTTAATCGATAGTGACTGGGATGTAATGTCCATAAATGTTAATCAATGTCCAGGATCATCTCTCTCCTTTGACCAGGGGCCTCCAACCTTTTTCAATCTCAGAGCTACTTCAGTGCAAATGAAGAGTCAGAGAGCTACTCCTTTTTGCAGTCGTCATAAAAATCTAATAATGGCAACAAAACATTGAGAATACATGTAAAATACACCTTAATAATGTATAACCCTATATTTATACTTATAATAGATATGTAACGACTCAAAAAATATCCATTCAAGATAACTTGTTAAATTCGAATACCTTTGGCGAGCTACTGGTAGCTCCCGAACCACAGGTTGGAGGCCCCTGCCTTTGACTCTCCTGCATTGGCAAGGAAAAAAAAACAATGGGGAAAAAAAAGAGAATTTTGAGCCTAACATTGAGAGAATACATGCATCAAACGCACAACATGTTTTATTATTTATATTATTGTCAGTTAATTTAGAATGTATGACATCCCATTAGTGGTAAATCCAGAGGTCTGGGTTTCTGCTCTTCAGTCTGCCCCTCTCAATGGGACGCCCGATGGTTGTCTCAGCTGTCTCTTAACTCCAGCAGCTTCCAGCCTCATTGTGGCGGGGCGTGTAGACAGACACACACTTCTGTTCTGTGCACATACTCTGTCCTTATGAGCAATCAAGGCGCTCGGCCGGTGTGCGACCTCGGCCTCCTTTACAAGCGTGTTATTGGCTCTTTGATTAGCTCATCACGACACAGACCACCTCATCTTAGTTTCCTTATCTGGCCAGATGGCTCTCAGGTGCGGCGCCTCTTCATAAATGACACTATGAGATTTAATTCCCTCTCGTTCCATTTTTGGTGTCAATAAAAAACAAAATAATAACGCCATTATAGTCCATCTCATACAAAAGTAATAAGTTTGTTTTCTCTTTTTTGGTACACATTGTTTATAAGATAATCAATATAATACTCATAAGAAATTCAAATGAATAATTAAAACAGGGAATTTCAAATAGTATAAATAATGATCATAAAAGATACTGTTATAAATAATAAATGTTCTGACAAATTATGTCAAAATGGCTCTTCACTCACATGTAATGAAAAGCACTGACGATCCAGAATGTGAAGTGTGGGCTGTGATTTAGAGCAGTGTCTCCCAAAGTGGGGTCCGCGGCCCCCTGGTGGGCCGCGAGGGTACTGCAGGGGGGCCGCGGGAGGTCATACAAAAAAAAAAAAATTATTTAATGTTAAATTTATAATATTTTGTTTGTAATATTAAAATATTTGTGTTCATTATTTGACTTGAATAAGCCACTGTAATCATTTTTGTATTACAATGTTTGTAGCAGAGGCTATTTCCCCAAAATAAAATAACCAGAAGAGCCTATTCTTAATGTTGTCTTCTTGGTTATTATTTTGGGGGGCCACGCAGACCCGTCAGATTTTTAAGGGGGCCTCGGTGTTACTGAGTTTGGGAATGGCTGATTTAGAGCATTGGTTTTGTCTATGTTCAGTCATGGACATGGACGTAACTCATCATTACGCTATCACTGTTAAAGCATAAATATTCAAAATATTTAAATACAACTGTATTTTCCTCGAGCAGTGGATTCCTGCATATCTCATCAAATAAACACAAACATGTGGTTTTATCGATACATTTATCACTGTTCCGTTACAAAGTACATTTACAACAGCACAAGACCTTCTTTTACAGCCGTATTCTTTCTTTCAACCGCCCTTTAATTGCTTTCTATTCCTTGAAGACCACTGTACAGTAGGTTATTTATATGGGACAAGTGAGTGAGAGCCCTGGGTTCATGGGTAATGGAAGCCTTGTGGCATGGAGTGATGGATGGTTATAGCCAATTAGATTGGCTTAGGGCAGATTTATGACCTCAGCCGCCATTGCTTTGTCCTGTCCCTTGACAAGACACTTGCACTTGGTAGATACACACCACGCCAGGTTCTAATTGTTTTTACACCTCTCAAACCACTACAGTGCTTGCCATAAATCTACAGCTTTTTCTTAATTGTTAAATGATGTGGAATATTATTGAGTTAAATCTCTGCTTTGGAACGTATTACTGATGTCATGTTCTGTTGGGGTCTGCTTCTTTTGGCCATATGTTATTGCTTTGCTTGGAATCTCACCTGGATTGGTTTTAAGTGTATATATACATTATATTTTAGTGCTTAAAAATGGAATACTTAGTGAGAAGATTCACCTCTCCACAAATATGACTTGTAGCTTTGTCAAGTGAAGTGAAGAAAATACCAGGAAAACTAAAGCAAACTAAATGTAATAGATTTTTACGTTTTAACAGACATTTAAAAAGAACTCCCCATCTACTGTACTACTACTACTACTGTACTTTTACAACACAACAGAAATGGCAGAGAGCTATACTAATCATAATACCCATCCATTTTTATTTGTATTGCTTTCTTATTTTTGTTCAGCACTTTGAGTTGCCTTGTGTATGAATTGTGCTATACAAATAAACTTGCCTTACCTTGCCTTGCCTCACTTAAAATAGGTAATTACTCAAAATGTATCCCTTCAGGATCATGTGTTAAATCCCTGAATCCTTGGGGAGCTCCCTGATCACGGCTGGTGGGCTCCCGGCTGGAGACCCCTGCTCTACTGTATATCTTTTGTCACAGTTAACAAGTGTAAAGCAATGTTGATGGTTTAGAATTATTACTTTATTAGAAAGCTGCGTCTCCCATGAGCTTGTTTTCTTGTGAGTCCAGTTTTGGTTAGAATAGATTATACGAATACAGAGATAGACTCGTTTTGGGAGTTTTCCAAACGCCACCATATGCTTTTTACTTTACCATTGAATATATACAACCCTAAAGTTGAGTTGCTGCTCAAAAGGCATCACACATGTCACATAGTAAATCTCTGGGTTGTCTTATATTCCAGTTCTTCCTTTTAAATCTCTTCTTTTAGCCATAAATTACTCTTCATTTGTGAATAGGGAGTTGCTTGTGAGCAGAGACAAGCACTCTACACTGTAAAACCCAACAGGTTAGATGGACTCAAATGATTTGAGGAAACTGATTCCACTAATACGTTTAGTTAATCAACTTAAACCAATGAAGTTCTACCAGTACTCAAATTGAAATTATCATGTGAACTCAAATACTTGGGTTAAAAAATTGATTAAGTTAATGAATTGGACTTACTGCACAAACATGTAAACTCAAATAAAATAGTCCCCATACTCAAATGCTGCATTACTCGGGACTTATTTAAATAGGTTAATTTTACTTATACATTTGATACACCTTAACTCTATGGTTTCAAATGTTGTACCCAATAGCTTCACTCTCAAACCCATTTTAAATGGTTTGCTTTACATTGAGGTAAGACTAAAATGATTTATAAAATAAAGTATCAAACACCTTCTCCCAATGAACATGTTTATTGACAAAAGATCACCTCTTATAAACTGGTTTCAGAGACTAGTTGTATAACATTTAAGGAAACATCAGGCTTGTCACAATTATAGTCACTACTTGCACAAATCCCATAATGCTTAGCAGCGCTGGGGGTAACCAATATAGGCTGTATTAAGTTATAAGGAACAGGTTTGTTTAAGATTGTGTGTGTCGAGTTTAAACTTCTCGCAAGGTTTAGGGAAGCTAATATCAGGCTCAAAGTTTTAAAGGAATAGGCCACCGCTTTTACATACTGACATGTTCTTCCCTTACCTTAGACTAGTTGATATGTACCTGTGTGGTCTTTGTCCGTGCTGTCATGCAAGCGGAGCACAAACGCAGCCTCTTCCACATTCTGTATAGTAACGGAATCAGCTCCTGTTTAGAAGCTCCCAAACTCTTCCACGTGTTCCCTATTTAAATACAGTTACGTGATGTTTTACACTACCAAGTATAGTAACACAGAAATGTAACGTGTCGATTTTCTCAGCGGATAAAAAGGGGAACTATATTGTGAGGCGTAATAATACGAGGAGGCTACGTCCGCCCACTAACTCCTATAGACTTCTCTCCCGCTCCCGCTGCTTCTATTGACGGAAGTGAGCGGGAGAGAAGTCTATAGGAGTTAGTGGGCGGACTATTACGAGCTCCTCGTATTATTACGCCTCACAATATAGTTCCCCTTTTTATCCGCTGAGAAAATCGACATGTTACATTTCTGTGTTACTATACTTGGTAGTGTAAAACGTCACGTAACTATTTAAATAGGGAACACGTGAAAGAGTTGTAGCTTCTAACCGGGAGCTGATTCCGTTACTATACAGTATATGGAAGTTTGTGCGTTTGCATGACAGAGCGCATGGACAAAGACCAGACAGGTACATATCAACTAGTCTAAGGTAAGTTAAGAACGTATGTCAGTATGTTAAAACTGGCCTATTCCTTTAAGCTCACAATGCAATATGGTAGTGGGCAAGTAGCGAATTACTAGTTTGACTCAATATTTGTCTGTAAATGAAGATTGAATAATGTATTTAAAAGAAAATTACAAAGCACATTTATGATCAATGTTTGATTATTTTTGTAAAAAATAAATCATGTTCAACATTTTTTGTAAAACACTGCTCTCCATCACAATGAGATATTTTTTGCATCTCATTAAACAAAAGGGAACTAAAATGGTGCATTCATATATGTATAGTTAGCGTAGTTCAGATTAGCCCTGCTGCATTGCAAAAGCACTAGTCTAACAAAAATAGTTATTGTGACAGGCCAAGGAACACAATTTTTGAACACAACAGATTGGCATTTTTGGTAGAAAGTACTAGACATCTGTACTTCAGAGAACAAATTATAATCCTCTTTTTAGTTGATGAATTGAACACTAAGGTTACAGGTTAAATAATTGGTAATTCAAATGAATTCTAATTCCTTTTATATAGTTAAATACTGATGTCATCTGAAAGCACTTCAATGGTTGTTTCTGCACCTTATTGTATATGCTACCCGTCTTGTGACAATCGTTTGTACTTTTAGTCTGTTTTAATGTCTCATGGTTGCACAAATAAACTAAATTAAAAAAAATTGTCAGTCAAATCGTTGTCAGTGGTGCCTAATTTTGGCACCACAAAATTTGGGCCACACGTTTTTGCGGAAAATTTGTTTAAAGCTTTTGCATCTTTCTCTAAAAAAATGATAAACATGTGGCTTTGATGTCTAAAATAGCTCCGATCATTTTGGCACAGAATCCTTCATACATAGGTCAACCAAAATGCCATCAATTTATCAACTAAAACTTCAGCTCAGCCCTAGATCGATAAAGACTATTCATTTAACACATTTTGAAGTGACTGCAGTTTTGATTTAAGCTGCCGTCTATCATTGTGTAGTTTTAAAAGAATCACTTGAATGAACTCAAAAAAGCCAATGCACTTCTCCGGGTATCTCAGATGCAGAGCATAAATCAACCCAAACAAACACACTAGAGCATCAGTCCATGATGTGCTGGACATTACAACCTGGTCCTCGAGCACAATGAAGACTTGTTGAGTTGAGAATGGAACACCGCCTGGGACATCATCAGCCATAGCCACAAGTGCAACAGTTCCCTCTTGAAAATCCATTTCGTCCTGCATGGGGGAGAATAATCCAGTTATCCATTTGTACAAATCAATTTACTATAGACGCCGCCCACAACCAACAGAATAGAACCCTTAACCAATTTTTTTTTACCTTGCATATCCGGAAGAGATTAGATGAGTCCTCCTTCAAATGGATTATTAGGCCGGACAGGGCTACTGTTCTAATGACATTTATGTCATTCTTCTCCTGAAAAGACAACACATTAACAAAAATCTAAATATGATGATTTGAATTTAAGTCACTTACCTGTTGTTCATAAACTGTCAGAAGTTGTTCCATCTTTTCCCCCCAGGGACCTGATGTCTTCTTTTTGTAAAGCTCAATGAGTTTTGGTGCGTATTTATCAAGCGAGCCATAGAAGAGATGGGGCAGGTTTTCATTAGTTATCCAAAGAAACTCGCTGTAGAGCTGGGGGGAAGGGAGCATGAAGTGTCAAAAATGTAGAGCACAAATTAAAAAAAAGTTTTCCAGTAAATGTGATTTTTTTGCCTCTGTTAAAGATTTACCTTTTAACATGTTTCGTCGGTCTACTGTAAGCCATCTTAAGAACCGTCACTAATCAGATGATCGTAATTTGTCCAGTGATGCAAAATTACAGAGGGGCATTGTTCTCACAAAATAGCGTAATTATGACTTACTATCTCGTAATTATGACTTTTTAAAATCCCTTAGCCCCTGGCTCTAAAGAGGGTGAAATGTGCTTGTGAACGAGTCATGATTCTCTAAGGAATTTTGAGATCATGCTGTGGCGCTGCAGCCAATCAGTGAGGGAGACTGCTCAGGCCGGAGGGGGGAGAGAAGCGGGAACCGGCTGCCGACACTTCCGCCGCGGGACAGGGCGGTATTTTAATAAACTCGCGCGGCAGATTTTTAAGAAACAGGCGGTCAAACTGCCGTTACTGCGCGGGAAGGAGGTGGCGGCCTGAACGGGGCTTTATAGCCAGGTGGATGTCTCCCGTAACGCTCTTACACCACGGCCCCATATAGCTGGGGTATGATGTCCCAGCTATACACTCTCCTGCAGCATAGAATGTGGCCTACAGCGGCGCTGAAGTCCGTACCACGGAGCTGTGGGCTCAAACAACCTGAGTCTCTGCTGAAGTTCATCAAATCCATAGCGGCTGCGCTTTGATCAAAGCAACAATGCGGAACATTCAACTGTGCCGCTCTCGTGGGGGTTAGAGCATGTTCCCAGGAGAGCCACATCCACCCCGGCTATAGGATGTGCGGAGCCGCGGTGCGGGAGAGCATACGGCTCCAAGGAGCTCCGAGAGTCCGCTCAAGAGCCGGTTCCAGCGTAAAGAACACCTGTGAACCCCACGAGAGCAGCACAGTTGCATGTTCCGCATTATTGCTTTGGATTTGATGAACTTCAGGGAGACATCCACCCGGCTATAGGAGTGCGAGTCACGGCCACGTCTCAAAATCCCTTACAGAATCAAGACATGTTCACAAGCACGTTTCACTTCTTGTAGCCAGGGGCTAAGGGGTTAAAAAAAGTGTCATAATTACGAGAATTATTAATTTATTTTTGTGAGAACAATGCCCTCTGTACCAATAGACTCAACAGGTTGCCCAAACTGAATATGCTTTCTGAAGTGAGTGTAGAACAAGAGAAAGGTCTCCCTAGTCACAAATCCACATGCCAGTTTGTGTCCAAGCAGTGATTGAGATTTTACATTTGTTTGTGAAAAATTCTCAATCCCACCATCGAAACACGTTTACACTGAGAACGTGCAAATTAGCGGGGGCGGGGCTTAGCATGAAAAAGGCCTATGACGGTCATTCTAAAGAGGCAAAAAAGTAAACAGCAGTAAAGTAACTTACCTGTGATTCATGAAATAGTCCAGGCAATCTTTCCTTCAGCGCAGTCACAGGAGGAGAGGTTGCAACGATCTCTTCGCGGCGCAGAGCAAAGGTGCGCTTCATGTGTTCTTTAATTTGTACCATGTTTCTCTCAACAGCTGCCATTTTGAACTGCTCTACCATTGCAACTCTTCGGATTTCCAGGGACTCCTTTGTTTCTCCCCATGGATAACATGGAAGGAAGTTCACTTCTCCTCTCCTCGCTCTTTTTATGTTGGCCCTGGAAGGTTCTCCATCAGGTTTTGTTTTGCTCCTCTTCCCAGCATTTACAGCTACATCCAGAATGCCTGCTGAGGCTAATTTTTTCCTCTCATTTCCTATTTTGTGGCGCAGGCTATTTTTCCAGCCGTCACATCCACGTTCAGAATTTCTCTCTTTAAGGCAAGGATGTTTCTTGATCAACGCCTCTGCTGCTTTTCCCACTTGTTTGCCGCTTGGATAGGGCATGTACTTGAAAATCTCCGATGCCACATTTTCCAAAATGTTGTGTTTTTGATCTCTAGTTGAAACTAAGGCTTTGCCATCGCTTTCAAAAGTCATATTCCCCTCCCTCAGCACGTGCTCAACCTCAAAAGAAAATGCTGGAACAATAAAAGACTCAGGCCATTTGTTAAGGCGCTCTGGTGAATTTGTAGCTTCCGAAACAGAGAGGGGGATTGTATCAGAGTTTGAGCTACTATCCAAGTCAGTTAGTTGAATTACTTTAACTGTTGCTATGGCTGGCAGGTCTTGCATGTTAACAAGGTTGCAAAATGCATCTCCAAAGTCTGGGTCTTGATACTGTAGTCGAAAATCAAAGTTTATGTGCAGCTGTTCTTGAATCTCATGTATTAGGACATGGACACTCTCAGGACTCTCTGCGTTGTCTTGATCAAGGAGGACCCTCATCTTAAGTCCAGTTGACTCCATATTTTTTTCCCCTGTTAAATACAAGACCAATGTAGAAGAACATTATTGCTTTGGCAGTCCGTTCATTTAGCATTTGGTCACAAATAAAATTGAATGTTTTGAAACATTCCATTGATAAACGAGAGGTGAAACTTGAATTATAATATTGTGAACAATCATGGGGAATAGCTTCTTCTGACATGACAATTTGATCTTAGTGATTAATGTGCTTTTATAAAGCACTATCCACAGGGAAGACCGCAGTCTGGGGGGGATCGCAGGGAAATGGCCATTCAATAATTTCACAAGGAGTGACTTGACTCCAGCCTCGGTCCACTCCTTGGGAAGAACCCACACATTTTCGAATGACCTGCGGCTAGCTTTGCTTCCATACTTTCCCTTCCCGTTAAACTCTGCTTTGATACAGCACTTTAAAAATATCCTGTCATAATCCATGACATGGCACTTTGCATACCATAAATCTATATAATTTTCACATTTTATACTGTATTATATGAATCCATTATTTTTCCAAAGATTAAGACTTGTGCATCTGTACTTTGATGTGTGTAATACGATTTCTGTATCAAAATTTGCATAACTAAATTTGTGTGTATTTTAAATTGTGCATCTGTAATACATGGCCAATGACTAAATAATAATAATCCAAGTACTACGCATATAGCTAGAGACCAAACTTTTCCAACAGTCCTGCCCTAGCTTGATTTGTGTGTCTGTTATTAGATTTGTGCGTGTGTAACCAGAGCCTTCATTCAAGTGAGCAGATGAGGAAAGTGCCAGGTTTTACCCAAAGTCAATTCTGACAGGCTGCGCAGGAGGGGCCACTTTCAACAAACAGGGGCCAACACTCAGACCCGAGCTCGAGGTACCTGGCCCACTGAGCATTACAGCAGACAGTGAAACTAATGCTACATGCGTAGGGCTTTTCCTCATATGCGTGCGCGGCAGGACTGTTGCAATGTTTTGGTTTGCAATTAGTTATGTGCATAGTACCGTTTTACTCATTGGTCACATATTACAGATTCACAATTTAAAATACACAAATATTATGCGCACACAAATTTTGTTTCAGGCACATCTTATTACAGACTAATAAAAGTACAGCTACACACATCTCTGAAACAATAGCCCCATATAATAATAAATTCACTTTGCCACAATATTCAATATCTTTAGTTTCTCCTGTATATTACACAAGTTGGAGTGATAGTCCAATTTTCTGAAAACAGATTTACAGTGGCAGACTGTCTCAAAACGTTTAAAACTAGTACATGTTCGAGTCACATTTTAACAAAACACTCAATGGTCTCAATATTTAGTTCTGTATTATAGAAAGTCCAGGGGAAAGTTGTCCGATTCATTAATAGATCTGCCATTACAAAGTAACTGATGTCCCGTTTGAAGCGAGATCAGTGTTGCAATTAGTCAGACACAGGAATGAAATATTTGGTGGTTAGAAATAGTTCATTTCCAATCCTGTATGCCAAATGTGGCATGCTATCCACAAGATCATGGACAGTCTTAACACAATGACTCTTTAGCTGGTTTTCAGTCAATGCAAAGGAACGCAAATGCTCACTGTAACACGTTTCATGGTCTCTTAGAATAAAGACAACATTGTTAAGGATGAGCAATACATTCTCTATCCTTTTGAACACAGGCAAGGCTGCAAAGGCTCCAGTGCATACAAACATGCCAGGTTTGAAATGTGTTCCATCTACCGATACTTGATTTGTACCGAATACCGTATCATGGTTTGCCATTTCAGAAATGTATTGTTGTGTCTCTGCAGGAAAGGATGAAATGTACACTGCCTCCATCTTTGAAGTTTGAACACTTGGCTTGAAAAATAGTGGTGAAGACAAATGGAATGCCATCATGCTTTGGTGTCGTTCTGCTAATGTTTTTAGAACGTTTTTGAAGTTTTGTGTATCGTGGATTATTTTTTTGAAAATCTTGTGTTTTCCTTCGAATCGGATTGTCCACAGATGGACTAGTGGTCCAAAGCATCTGATTAAATGAGGGTAGTGCTCAATATAGTGGTGCTTTGGTCTCAACCGGACATTTGGAAACACTTGTATGAAGAGTTGCCTATGATCCAAAATCTTCCAAGCCAAGTATTGAATGGTCTCGTCTGAGAAAGAGGGAGACATTGCAAGCTGAACAACATCCTTTAGGTCCATCAATAACTCCCAATATAGGTCTTGCTCAGGGACTTTGTAGCCAATGAGAAATGGTAAAAGTCTCAATAAGGCGTGGTTCTCATGGCCATTTCCCCCAATGGTCCCACGAGTTGTAAAGCTCAACGGTATGGGGTGGGGACGATCAGTTTTGTCAGAGTGTTGATAAGGGAAAGTCAATATAGCACGATTTAACTGCTCCAAAGTAAAATACTTTTTTGCTATCATACCTTTGAGACAATGAGCGAGCTCCACCGGAACAATCCCTTCGAAAAGGTCGTGGAGGAGGTCTGGCGGAAACCCTGTCACAGGATGGAAATGTAAGAGGTCTGACAGAACACAACCACTTTTCACACCAAAGCATTCTACACTTTCATTATTCTTTATATCCTGAACAATGTTATCATGGCCATCTTTGGTTCTCATGACAAACTCTCCATTTACAGCATTTTCTGTTTGTATTTCAGTTTGATTGGCCAGACAAAATCTGCACAAATAGGTTGATCTGAAACTCTCGTTGAAGCCAGCCAAACCATGAGCGGCAAGATTATCTGCCACAACAGTGAAAATGGTTCCTTTCAGACAATCACCAAGTTTCTCAATGTAAACTCCACATTCCTCTAAAATCTTGAGATCATTTATAAGAGGTGCCATGGTTTTCTCAAACCCAAACTGGCGTACATCATTAGAATTGCACAAAAGTGCCAGCTGGGTGCAGTGCAGAGCAGAGCGATACTTTATTGGCAAGTTAGTTAATGTCCAATACACAGCAGACACTTTATGTATTTTCCTTGATGTGCCTAGAGGGTTTGCTATTTCAAAATCATCTACATAAAGAATGATTGACAGTTTGATTCCCTCCTGTGACAGTAAGTCATTGTTTTTATAGAAGGATCCATCAGAAAATGAATTGTACTGGCCTGGCAACTGTGGTGGAGTTTTTTTTATCTGTTCAAGCACATCCATTTTTGAAAGCATTTTTTGCAGTGATTCAAGCAGTGTTTCCCACACATAGACTAATCTGTGGCGCACCGCCACAGATTAGAGACCGCCCGCCACAAATTGCGTTTCGTATTATATATATTTTTTTTTTGTTACGCTATTTAAAACATGCATCGTCTAGTGCCGCCGCAGCGGTCAATTTGACAGCGGGGAGGGGGGTTTAAAATGTGGCGGCCCTTCGTAACTCTCACTCAAGCTACGCGTCTCTCCCACATACAGAGACCTACACACACACAGCCCCTCCCCTTCGTGCACACCGCGTGTCTCCGTCTCCATCAGCGATCATCGCTGTGTCTATTAATTTACCGCGGTAAAGTGGCCCGCATCTTTCAGCTCTATGAACATGCGGCCCGCATCGGGGAAAAGACGGTGCGCGTTTTGTTGAGAACTTACGGTAACAGCGGAACGTCCTTTCGGAGTCACCCATTTTTATCGAACAGAAAGCGCGCTGGGGTCAGGGAGACACGTTTTTTGTGATTAAAACCTTATAGAGATGCCACCCGGCACACATAGCACCAGCCCCCTACGATTCCTCCGGCAGATTGTGAGTCCTCAGGAGGATAGCCACTCTATTGTTTACATGTATAAAGTACACAATTTGGTCCGCTAGTGCAATTTTCAAGTATTGTAACTATTTACTGGAATAAGGTGTGCGACTAATTTCACTTGACTCATAACCTTATTATTGCCCTCTGCCACTGTACCAAAGACCAGAAACTTTTACTGTAGAAATATTGAGAAATATTGAGGTAAAGTAGCCATTTTGGTCCAAAATACCTCCAAAATAGTCAAAACATGTCACTTTTGATCTACTGTAACTTTTTACTGTAAAAAGGTGTGCGACTAATTTCACTGGATTCATGACCTCAAGATTGTCCTCTACCACTGTACCAAAGACCAGACACTTTTACTGTAGAAATATTGAGAAATATTGATTTAAAGTAGCCATTTTGGTCCAAAATAGCCTAAAAATGGTCAAAACATGTCACATTTGATCTACTGTAACTTTTCACTGTAAAAAGGTGTGCGACTAATTTCACTGGATTCATGACCTCAACATTGCCTTCTACCACTGTACCAAAGACCAGACACTTTTACTGTAGAAATATTGAGAAATATTGAGGTAAAGTAGCCATTTTGGTCCAAAATACCTCCAAAATAGTCAAAACATGTCACTTTTGATCTACTGTAACTTTTTACTGTAAAAAGGTGTGCGACTAATTTCACTGGATTCACGACCTCATGATTGCCCTCTACCACTGTACCAAAGACCAGACACTTTTACTGTAGAAATATTGATTTAAAGCAGCCATTTTGGTCCAAAATAGCCTAAAAATTGTCAAAACATGTTACTTTTGATCTGCTGTAACTTATTACTGTAAAAAGGTGTGCGACTAATTTCACTGGATACATGACCTCAAGATTGTACTCTACCACTGTACCCCACTCCCCCCCCCCCGTCGACGACCACCACACATTGCCTTCAAACCTGTGGGAAACACTGTCAAGGATTGGTACATACATAAATGTATGCGGTGTTGACTCAATAATATATTGAATGGGCTTAACAAATGGGAAATTGCCTTCATAAAAGGTTTTCCTTCGCTTAGCTGTTGACAGCAGTCCTTCAGATGTGATGCATTTATGTAATACACTACTTTCCAAAATCACCTGTGTGATCTCACTTAAAAGTTTGTCAGTATGTGGACATTTGTGTTTTTTTAGTATTTCCTCTACAGCGTTCTTAACTAGTGGCTGTGATAAGACAAACTGTTGATCAAGATGTTCAATTATCTCCTGTGTTGCTCTTTGAGACACATGGAGGATGGTGTGCATTTTCAAGAAAAAACCAGCCAGATTGTACTGCAACTGGTCTTCTAAAATGTCTGGACTAAGATCTTCACTGTGAGGTTCCTCCTCCATTTCAACTGACTCCAACAGGTCAGGTGGGATGCCCTCTTCAGTTTCCGGTACACCTGACACATGCACCAGTGCTTCATTAAAAGTAACAGAATCCTTGTGACACTTGCATTTGTGGGAATTAAACGTAGAGTAAACATTTGTTTTAAATGTGCAGTTTTTGAAGGGACAAGGCACGGTTTCATTCCTTCTTAAATGTCCTCTGAGGTGTAAAAACATCTCATTTTCGTGAAATGGTTGTTCAAAGTTGCACAATGGAATGCATAATTATTCAAAGCTGGATTAAGGCCACCCTTTTTATTTGTATCTGGATGAACTCTGGTCAAATGAATTTAAGGCATTGTATGTACTAAAATTACATGTGCAACGTTCATATAGGCATGGCAAAGGGGACATGGTTGAATATTGGCCATGATTAAGCCTGTAATGTTTTAACAAAACAAGCTTTGAGGAAGTTTGAAAATTACACAATTTGCATTTCCACATGTTTTGGAAAATTGCAAATAAGCGGAGGGGAACATGGGTCTTTGAGTATAGCCTGTAGTTAGAGCAGCAATCTTGCCTTAGTCTTCGCAGGGGATGACAACCACCTGAAAAAATGAAATAAAGAAATAATGAGAACTCTTGAGATTATACATCAGCAAAAACATTAAGACTTTTAATGTAAGTAAGTAAGTAAGTTTTTATTTATATACCGCCTTTTCACTGCAGATCTGAGTCTCAAAGCGGTTTACAATTGTTAATTTTGGGCATTTGTCTCTCACTCCACACAGAGATGGGAGCGGGGCCAGTACAGGAGGCGCATGCTAGAACTATTGGACATATTTTTAGTGGTAGGGGAAACCGGATTACCCGGAGGAAACCTACGCAGACACGGGGAGAACATGCAAACTCCACTCAGAAAGGCCCTGGTCCGGCCGGGATTCGAACCCAGGACCTTCTTGCTGAGAGGCGAGAGTGCTATCCACTCAGCCACCGTGCCGCCCAATGTATACACCTTTTGAAAACAAGACTTAAGTATAAATACTTTTATAACTCACTTTTTTTATTTATATAAAATAAAAAACTTTGTCCATTTGACATGGACTGACCCTCGAAATTCGGTACAGTGAAAATCACATCTAAAAAAGGTAGGCGTAATAAGGCTTAATCTTAAAACACGTAAAGACATGTATTTTTCTGTATGTATTTACATGTCAATAAATAACTACAAAACATAACATTGAATTATTTCATAATTTCACTGCGACCATCATGAAACGTAAGTGTAAATCTGTCAAGTCACTCGTCAAACTGAGAAAGCGGAACTTCCTGTGCTTTGGGCGGGTCAATTTCACTCAGTTTCTGAGGCTCCTTTTTATTAAACTCTGCAGGGTTCCCCTGAAGTGAAATTGACTTGCCAAAGCACAGGCCGGACCAAGTCCCGCCTTCAGTTTGACAAGTGACTGACAGATTTACATTTCATGGTCGCAATTAAATCACAACACACACACAGATTATTTTTCTTAAAATGTATTGACAAAAGTATTTCTGTAAACATTGTTTCATCACATGTATTGGCACATTTAATTATATAAATAATACATCTTGAATCTTTGTTGTAGCAATGGCTAAATATGGTCGAAAATATTTTCCCCTTTCTGGCAGTACAGACGTACACCCACACAAGCAGTATTTTTTTATAGGCAAATATTAGATTTATTTCGTTTCAATTTTGGGCATTTAAAAAAAAGGCATTCAATTTGGTATTCAGTTAAGACGTGACTATCATTGTACCTAATTCCATCTAAATCGGAGATTGTGCTGCTGGAGGCTCTGGTCCATTTGACACGGACTGACCCTATAACCAAAGAAGAACTTACCCACAAAGCAGCAAATTGAGGGATGGCTTCTTGTCGCTAGTCTACACAGGAACCCAATTTCTATTCAGAGGGACAGAAAAAATAAGTTGAAGTGACAAAGTCAAAGTCAGTGAAAACATACAAAAAAAATTCACAGAATTATTGCAAAACAAAATTTAAATAGTACAATTTGGTAACTATTTACTGTGTGGGTTCTAGGTTATAAATGCAGTAAATGCGCTCTCAAAATACATATTTTCTAATCTGAATTTCATATTCAGACATTTACTCCCAGGTTTCTCTCAAATACAATGAACCGAGGTGTTGACGGTCCTTTCTCCTAGCATAGCACCACGTGATTGAACAAAATTAAGCTAACATCATGCTAACGCCATGCTTTCAAACTGGAGCAATCCCCGATACCACGAGCATAATCAAAAATACTGTTCAAGCATGATAAGTAAACGTGAATTTCAACTGTAATAAAACAGCAACCATCATACGTCGTCGAACCACGACTTTACTGTAAGTGCTCGCTCCTTTACATATCCTAGCATGACGCAATGTGACTTAGCAAAATTAAGCTAATGCTAACATTAAGGTAATGGACGCCAGCCCCTAGACCACAAGCAACCATGCGAGCAACATCGAACATGTAGTTGAAACCTCAAGCAAACGTGAATAAAAATGAGAAAACTACGCGCACTAACCATGACTTTACAGATACGAATGTACGTAGCAGTACAGGGCCATGTGACAGAGCACAGTTAGGCTGAAGAGTTAGCTCTATCAGATATGGCAAAGCATGTTCTTAGCAGAATTATAGAAACTACAGAGTATACATATAAAGCACACGTTAAATCACCCAATGTATGTCTGTCGTTGCTCCTTTAAACTTAATAGAAAGGCGCCATTCGGCAAGAAAAAACTATAGTAGCACTGGCGATATCAATATGGCACTAACCCGGTCCCAGTCATAGGCAGGGATGGAACGGTGCCTATCTAAGCATATTAAGCAAAACTCAAATCCGTTCACTAAACTCGACTTTACACGGGTTCTATGGCATATTACAAGCTATCAAAGTTATGTAAAGTGGTGCTAATTACCGAGTGAAGTCGTCCGGACACGACGTGCGCTCTCATTTCCTCTGAAGACCGAACGACGAGGTTAAGACCGTGTGCATTGCAAAAGAAAAGTCAAGAGGGGCGTTCACACTCACCTGCGCATGCGTAGTCAGAGAAAGCAAATACATATTTGATATTTGACATATTGATTATTGTTTCATTTGAATAAATAAAATGTATGCAATCAACTACTTAAATAATGAAATAGTCCTGTATCTGGCAAAGTTTTTATATATAAAGAAAAGATTGAATTGCAACTGATAAATTAGCTCAGCGTGATCAGCTCAGCTTCACCGTTTTGGCGGCTGGGGTTCGATTCCCCCATAGACCATCAATAGACCTTTTTCACACTTCCGTGCAGTGTTGCCAACTTAGCGACTTTGTCGCTAGATTTAGCGACTTCAGACCCCTATAGCGACTTTTTTTCAAAAAAGCGACTAGCGACAAATCTAGCGACTTTTTCTGGTGTTATTGGCGACTTATCTGGTGTTTTGGCGACTTATCTGGTGTTTTGGAGACTCGTGAAGCACGTATTGTTCTGCTGTCCTCAACGTGAGCCCCTCCCCCGTCCCAAAGCACTTACAGGCGGCCAGTCTCACAGTAGCCTTGCGCAGCAGTCCCAGCTACAGTCTATGGGCGGAGCAGAGAGAGAGAGAGGAGACTCAAAAGCACAGGAAGTTTTCAGGCTGCTGCAGACTGAACTTCAGCTCCACCACCACCACACATCCAAAGCTCCCCGGCCACTCCTACCACCGCCACCCCCCACTACCCCCCACTCCATCCGCGGCAGCTCTGTCCGTGACTCTGTTTTCTCTCAGTAGTGGGTCACATTAAATCATTTGTTATGCCAAACTATGAAAAAAAAAAAAAACTTACAAAAATAAACCTAAGTAACTCTGCCAGAGTGTGTCTTTTGGGTCACTTTGCCGGTCCCAAGCCCGGATAAAGGAGGAGGGTTGGTTGTAGAGCTAGCAATTTCACCCTACATAACAATCTTTTGATTACATTTGCTGTTATAACATTTAACAATACAGGACAAAACTGATGTGTGTAATGTGGATCTAGACAAAGCATTAAAATCATTAAATGTTGTTAATGTTGAAATTATTTTTGTACATTTGTAGTTCTAAACATATTTAGGGTGTTTTTACTCACTTTTGTCTCTCCCACGACCTTATTCCTCTCTCCTACAGCGTCCGTTACAGTTATTTGCAAATGGCAAATTATGCAAATTAGGCGATGACGTCATTTAGCGACTTCTAGCGTCTTTTGGGACAGCCAATAGCTACTTTCCTTACTGAGGAGTTGGCAACACTGCTTCCGTGTTTCAAACCGGATGTGGAGTAAAGCCACTTCCGGTGCCTATGCTTTACCGTTCAGAGACAGCGTCAGTATGGCTCAATCTCTCCGCGCTAGTTTTTGCTCTGTTCCTGGTTGCTCTTGTGGAGCAAGAAAACAACCCTATTTATCTTTTCATGCTTTTCCGACGGACCCGGACCGTAGAAGGCAGTGGATCCAAGCAGTTAGGAGAGACGAGGGTCCCCTGTTCACCATAAAGACAGGGAGCACTTTTGTATGCAGCCGGCACTTCACACCGGAGGATTATCTCACTGGATCGACTGTCAGCCGCCTTAAAAGTGGAGCTGTTCCATCTCTATTCCCCTGGAATAATTTTATTGCACCACCTAAGAGGGAGTCAGCATTCCAGAAGGCTCAGAAACGTCAGCTTGTCCTTTCAGAGCAAGTTAGCCAGGCTGAAGCTGCCACTGCCGAACATGATTATGCGGCACATCCACCCCCAGGTAAATATCTAATTATATCAGTTATGTTAACATTTTATTCTAGCATATTTGAGTCAATATTATAACTATGAAACAATAAATGCTCAGTGTCATAACATGTTTGTGGAACAAAATTAAAGCAGTGTAAATAAAATACAATATTTAGGACTGTCTGTGTAATTGTATATATAATTATATATATATATTACATTATGGTTTGACCTTTTTAAGGTATTTATAGCACTTTTTTCTGGTTTTACAGGTGCGCTTGATAAAGCCCTTGAGACGATCAAGGAGTTGGAAGCCAGGCTGGAGAAGATGGATTTGTCTCCCAGCACACTTTTTAATAGTTATTGCTTTTCTGATGACCAGATCCGGTTTTACACAAAATTCCCATCTAAGAGTGTGTTCAGGATCTTCTGGGAGTCCATTGCACCATCTGCATCCCGTCTAGTGTACTGGACCAGAGCTCAGATAATTGGAGATAAAGAAGTTGCTGAACCAAGCCCTGCACGCCGCATGCCTCTAATTGATGAGTTTTTAATGTACTCATTCAGGGTTGCAGTGGGAATGAAGGAGCAGCTCATTGCTGACATGTTTAAAGTGAGCATTTCTACTGTCAGCCGAGTGACCATCACATGGGCCAACTACCTTTTCATTGTGTTCTCGTCAATTAACATGTGGATTAGTCGGGAGAAGGTGAAAGCCAGCATGCCTCAAAGATTTGTGAAGCGCTCTCCAAATGTGCGTGTCATCCTGGACTGCACAGAAGTTGCTTTAGAGGGGGCATCATCACTAACTTTACAGTCTGAAACCTTCTCTGCGTACAAGAACCGCACCACTCTGAAAGGGCTGATCGGAGTTGCTCCCAATGGGTTGGTGACGTTTATATCACAGCTGTACACTGGCTGCATCTCCGACAAAGAGATCACTAAAATCAGTGGAATTCTTCCGCTGCTGGAGCCAGGAGATGAAGTCATGGCAGATAAGGGCTTCCTCATTCAAGACCTCCTTGATGAAGTTGGGGCCAAACTCACAATGCCACCTTTTCGACATCCTGGTCAGTTTAGCAAGAGAGAGACTGAGGAGACCCAAGCCATTGCTCGTCTGAGAATTATTGTCGAACAGGCAATAGCCAGAATCAAGCACTACCACATCTGGGATTCTCCTGTGCCACTCACTTTAATAGGAACCGTCAATCAGATCTGGCACAACTGTTGTGTTTTGGCTAATTATCAAGGCCCATTTTGTTTGCAAGAATAAATGTTTCATCTAAATCTTCTATGTGTCTGTTTCAGTGTACATATTTTTTGAGATGTTTATTCCCCATTTTAAAACACACTTGGGCAGAATTCAGTATTTTTTGTTTTGTTATTGTGGCTTGATTGTGTTGAATTGCAAGGGAAAACAGGTTAAACAAATAGCAAGTGATAGTGGATTATGTTGAAAGTGGATTATGTTGAAAATGAAATATGTAATTCTCAAATCATTTCATTTGTAACAAAACAAAACTGGAAATATTTTTTTATAAATCATACAGGAAATAAAATAAGCACATTAGTCTAGTTTTGGAAAACTTATACCTCATCAACTTCCTTTCAGCTGCAGGCACAGGTCATTAAGACTAGGCCAATTTCATGTTTTGTTTTGCTATGCATATATTCAATTTTTGTGACAGATATTTACAATGATCAAAAAAAAGGGAATGAACAAAAAAGGGGATTTGTGAATCATTAGTTACTGTATTGCATTGACATAAACACATTCATAAAGGTGGTAAAGTAAAACATGTCCAATTTTGACTTCATCTGGTCAATGAAAGATTCATCCCGCCACACTCGCTCTACTGTTATAGTTGTCAGTGTGTCTGTGACAAAGTCGCACCATTCCAGCCCTGTGATTGCCAGCTGACCCTGTACTTGCCAGTAGTACGCATGTGAGTGCCTCACATTTGCAGAGCCATCCTGAACCTTAAGGTGAGCCACCTGGGACACATCATTTTTGGTACTACATTTAACCTCTACCAGTCCAAACGGGGGTGATTCTGATGGGTCATACACCCTGCCATCAGGACTTGCCCCAAGATGTGGTGCCTCTGGGTGAATGATAAATCCCACAGGGAGTACATTAACACTCATCAGCTCAGCATAGTTCGCCGTTTGTTTTGTGAACCCCCTGATCATCCTAGCTGCATGTACTGTGGCTACAGACTCCTCCTCAGCACTTCCTTTACAAGCATCCCGGAAACGGCTAGCTGTAAGCCTTGGCTGGCGAAGCTGTACCCATGCAGGACATCTGGACTGCTCCCTGGTTGCAGCCTCTATTTTTGAAGACGTATCCAGTGACAGTTGCAGAGACTGAAGATACCTAAGTTGACCAAGAGTAGGCACAAAACACATGTTTGTAAGACTGTGAAACATCAAAGGAAGAGCAGGGAAGTCTGGAGCTGTGTGGTGTATAATGATGACGTCGCAGGACTTCTCAGGTGGGCACTGGTAAGACATTGGTGAGCCTCGAGGCACAGGCCCAAATTTGGACGGAACCAGCTCCAAAGTTGAGAGACCTTCTAAAACAAGAGCTATGAGTGGCGGGGACTCCAGCTGGCATAATTTCTCTCCCGATGCGATGATGTCGGGGTCAGGAAGTGGTCCTACAAACACATGAGTGACAAATCTCAATAACTTATGACAAAGGAAACATTCCAGATTTATTTATTTATATATATATTTATTAAATAATATATATATATATATATATATATAATTTACAGACAGATTATGAAAACATTGGCACTCAATAAATTATACCTGGGAAAGCTCTGTAGAGTGTAGACTGCAGACATCGTTTCCCCACAGTTTTGGGCTTTCGCACTATGACTTTGCTGGCAGGTTCAGGGTGGATCCCCTTACAAGAAATAAAAACAGAAAAATAGATTTTGTTAACATGACATTTATATATATATATATATATATATATATTAGAGATAGATAGATAGCTTAATTATATTATTCTTAAAGTAGTTAAGAAAATTGCATACCAAATGATTATGCAATAGAAAAGAGTTGAGCAAATTACTTGTTTATTTATTTACCTGTGTTCTTGGCCTGTGCCATCTTTGTAGATCACTCGTACATGCCAGGGCAGGAGGAACAGCTGGTAGCTGGAGCTGGGAGTAGTGTGCAGTCTGATAAAGAAGTGCAACTACATGGTTGCAAAAACCTTTACCTGCTGCACAACTACAAGAATGAGCCAACAGCTCAGCCTTTTCAGCACCCAGTGAGATCTAAAGCAGAGAAGTAGTTTTAGAACGGACATAGTTATTACTTGTTATAACTTATCTTATAAAGACAAGAGATTGTAGTTTAGATTTGCTGCAACAGCAGCAGTACATAGAAAAGCCTATGCTGCAACAGCAGCAGAAGAGAAATAGTAACCACCAAACAGAAAGATGCGAGTATAGGCTCTCAGTTTTACTGGAACTGTCCATCCTATGTGAACGTTCTTCAGCTGTCATCTGTCAGCGACTCAAGAACTCAAAGCTGAACAAGCCAACCGGCTTTCTGACTTTCAAACCTGCAGTCTGTGCGGCTCCTCATTTCTCCTCATGGACCTGAAGCATTTAGCTCTGACCACTACCTTTCCCTCGAGAATATTTGATACTATACGTATGCAGAAACAAAGCACAATTTAATGGTTAAGGTACATCTAGCATCATCATGTAAAAACTAACATTTAGCATGTTTGCTTTCATAAATAAGACATGAAAAACACATATCATAATGTTCTAATATAATTGGAAATTCTATACCATGTCTCCATTCAAATTTCGAATAATTTAGCACACAAATTAGCACATATTTATGTGCTTCAAGTGTCGTAGCTAGCGTAGCTGTAAGTTGATAAGTCTTACCTTGATAGTCGTGTAAATATTCTTCATGAAAGAATTTATACCCCTTATCCCGTTTATCTGTTTTTGAATTCGCTGCTGCAATTGCTTCCGCAGCAGCGAATGAAAAAGCTGGCAAACAGAGTAGTGTTGGTGAAAATATTAGAGCCATTTCTCTATCATAGACTGTGCAAACCGGAAGTGACTCAGCGCTGCGAGGCGGCACTTCCGGTTATCGTGAAAAAGGTCTATAACATTTTAGAAATTGCCGAATCTAAGGAGGAAAATAAACGTAAAACGTTTAAAAACATTTAATTCGTATGTATCTCATAATTATTGCATTTCTGTGCCCATTATATTTTTGAAATAAGATTGCAACATGTTTTGTACTTGATAAAAAATACATAAAAATAAAACCTTTTTGCAAGTGTGTATAACAAAAATATTAACAACAATGTTGCATACATTTCAATACATATTGGATAAAACTCAATAAAAATGAGTTAATGCATCATATATTTAGTTTTGGGCTTTTGTAACTCAGTTGGTTTGGTTATATTGACCTTTCAGCAGAACTGAGTTAGAGTAACTCACTTTATTTAGTAAGATGTACTGTTGGGTTTTACAGTATGCTTGTGAGCTATACACTTAAATATGTGTATACATTCTTCAAAAGTGAGCAGACACTTTTTGGCATCACTCCCCTTTTAAAATCGTATTTTTTTCTTGAAAACATTCTTGGTGTTTCCTTCAACCATAGTTTATGAGCATATCCTCCTTCCATAATGGTTTTGCCTGAAGATGATGTAACAATTCAAATGTATAATTAGTTTATCATTCGGGAGGCCTACTGTCTTTAATGTACTATGATTATTAATGTTTTTATCTCCTTTTTGTTTTGTTAAGCACTTCTGCGTGTATGAACTGTGCTATACAAATAAGCTTGCCTTTCCTTACCATCTCAATTCAGTTCAATCTATATATTTTTGTATAGCCCTAAATCACAACTGCCGTTGTCTCGGAGGACTACAATGTTTTTGATCCACCAACAACAGGTCAGAGAATCAGACACTTTGAACACAGGAAATGCATCAATGACAAACACAGAGCCATTGGGACACAGGGAGCGGGAAAACCAATGTCCATAAATGTTAATACATTGTTATAAATCTCCTCAAATGTCCCGGAGCACTCCTGCATCAGCGAGGAACAACTCAAAAACTCAGTGGGGGAAAAAGTGGGAAACTTGGAGAGGCCCACATGGAGAGAGGGATCTGCTCCCACACAGACAGACTGTAGATCCAGGACTCCTCGTCTGATAACTCCAAACATTTGTGTTATATTATATAGCTACTCCACATTTCTCTCAATCCTGTAAAACTATACTATTGAAATCAAATGAATACGATCCATCTGCAACCATTTCAAACCAGCGCCTGGCGACCTTATCTTGCTAAACAATATTTATTTCATGCTCCTGTTGGCTTTTCATTAAATGCCTACAGCATTACCAACGGCATGACACCGAACAGATTAGAAGAGGCTGCGTCTGTAGTGTAGAGCAGTGCTTCCCAACAGGTGGTGCGCAGGCCGAGGGGTGTGAGGGTTTTAATACAGGGTTTTTCCAAGTATGAATATAAACTTACACAAATTGGTAGAATGAGGTTTTTATGGGCTACAGTGACTTGGAGAACGTCATTAAAGCAATTCTCTGGAGAAAAGATCTCCATGATTTATTTATTCTATTATCTCTAGGACTCCCAGAATTCAGAGCAGTCATTTTGACAGTTCCTGTTCAAACTAATGGAAAATTCCCCAAAGATATTATTAGTTTTCCACAAGTCTAATGAAATTAAATCATTTCTAAGGTTTCTAATTTTACTATGAGCTAACCAGCTGTTGCAGTTAGTATTGGTAACCTTTCAAGTAAACAGTGTGTTGCCTTGGTAACGATCACTTGCTCTTTTCATGCAGAAAAACATGAGAAAAACAAGCTCCTCTTGGAGAAACCAGGCTTTAACTGCCATAGAATGTTGGTTACCAAGCAACAAAAAATGGCTTAAAATTAGAATTTTACATTCAATTGAATTAAAGATGCAGTCAGGGATTTTTTCCAGACGCATTTTTTTAATATTGTGGGAAAACGTCCCTAACCCCTAAAAGTAGTGAAGTTATTATGTGTTTTCAAATAATAATGTATCTGACCAGATGCCAATAGTCTCCGAAAATGGATACAAAATATTTTGTAGTGGACCGATAAAAATAAACCAATGGGATTCCCTCATCCCCAACGAACCAATGGGATGTGTTTACTAGTGATGGGTCGTGCCGCGTCGGCGCTTCGGGGCGTGAGCCGAGAAATCCCTGAAGTTTTTATCTGAGCGCGGGCCGAAGCCTGAGTTGTTTTAGATGAGTGACGTCACTAATGACGTTTGAAGCCTCGGGAGCACAGGAAATGGAGCAATTCATGAAGTACTGCAGAAGATCCGCTCAAACTGTGTGTTTGTTTTGGTGATTAATGTAGTCAGTGATGGAGAGGGTTGAGGTATCAGCTGGTTGGCTCAATTGATAGGGAAGCAGGGCTGGGACTTGGGAGACCGGGGTTCGAATCTCACCGGGGGTGCGTCGATCTAAATACACGAGAAAAAATTTTGTCAGAAATGTTTTGGTTTTAAACAACTGATGGGGTCACAATCCCAAATGATATCCCCATTTGTGTCACGTCCTTTGAAAAGCACTTACACTTTCAACATGTTTGTTGTCCTATTGGATTTATAACATTGATTTTGACTTGAAAAGCTATAATCATTCATCATTAAATATGTATATAAATATATATCTACATATATGTATGTGTGTGTGTGTGTGTGTGTATTGATCATAATGAAACAGATAAATTAATGGGTCATACACAATCAAATTACATTTTTATTTCTGTTACCAGTATTAATTCCTATGCGCAAGAGCCTCACAAACAGTTCAATTGTCAATACAGATTTTGACCAACAGGAGGTTTGTGAGCATATGAAGCATCAAGAAATGAACCTTTTCTCGAACCAATGGATGAAAAGGTTCAACACTTCATGAAGCTTCATCAACCCATCACTAGTGTTTACCCCCTTCACCCTCTTCCTGTTTCTCGCAAGTACGCGATACTGAGTTATCGGATTATTTTATAAAAACTTAAATGACTGAACAGAAAATGCCAATTTCACGTTTGCTCCACTCTCCCTGTTGTGACAAAGAAAAGAAAATGCTGGATGTTTGGTTTGGTGGAGAGGCGAGGGGAGGGGGGAGTGGTTTCCGGTTGGTGCTACGGCTAAGCTAACAACATTGGTAACTGCATATTTAAAGGTAACCACCCACATCTCAAAAATAAAATAAAAAAATAATACAATAATCTTACAAAAATAATGGCGTAGAAAATAGTTACATATAGAAACCGAATAAGAAATAGTCACAAAGTTATGAAGACCAAAAATGGACTGAGAAATTATACTTCCAAAATAAAAAGCCTTCAAATGGACTGCTCTGGGATGGTCATGATGCAAGTAGTGATTATGGACTTGTTTTTGCAAACTTATTACTACTTTTGGTCGAGTTTAAGCATAAAACTGAAGTCAAACCCATCAATAAATTCCCACAAAATGTAATAAAGCAGAAATGAATGAGCAGAAAACCAAATGTCCCATAAAGAAAATGATTATGCCTTGGTGGAACGGCCTAAGAAAATATAACCTGCAATCAAGGTTTTTTAACGTGGCCCAGAGCAGAATGAGGATGACATGAACATTGCCACTGAGGGTAATGAGTATTTGGGGTCATGTTATCTGGTAAAGTCAAATGAATTAGCAAGTCACCTCCAGGAAATGGCATGTTTGTATGTTCACTGGTGCGTCAGGCTTGTCCCTTCTGGGGGGAACCCGACTGAGGTCAAGGTCGCGGTTGTGGCTGTGATCCACGGCGGACGAGAACAACAGTGAGTCCTATTGTTGCAGGCTGGAGGGGTGTGTGCCAGTGTAACCAGCTTTTGTTGTCTGTAAAGTGGGGACATATTTCTCCCTGTCTCCTCACAGAGCGGTTGGTAGGCTGCCATAAACCTGCTTTATTGACCATGACTATCGTGTGATTACAATCTCATTTTCCGTTGATTGCTATCTCCAGCCCGTGGATGGCAAAGTCACAGACAATCACTGCATGCTATGAATAAAATGCACAGATTGATTGGTTACTATAAAGAATCATCGCCAATTCATCTCGTTGGAAGTTTGGCTTGGGTTGTTGTTGCTTTGTTTACTTTAGCTTACAAGGGGTTTGTGTGGTATCCCTTAAAGCTGGGGTACCTAACTTTCAAACCACATTTTATAACCAAGTAATAAAATCCATCCAACTAGTTCCTGAGTCTAAAAAAATGACTCCATAACTATTTTTCACACATATATTTTTCAGGTGTGGCGATGGATGAAGCAGAAGAAAATGGATGGATGGATGAACAACAAAATGCTCACAGTTCACTTTTACCTATATGAGAAATAAACTTTTTAAATATCGTAAAAATAAAATATTGTATTGTATATATATATTGTATATTCATAACAGGATGAATGGTTACTGTTTCGATGATTATCTCATGTCCTTCAGGCCCCTGCATGTACCTTGACCTACAATAGTTACCTTTGAGCCATAAACTAAATCTGAGTAAAATTTGTCAAAGTTGGACTCTATGAAAAAGCCCCCTTCACCTGGCGCTGTCTCTGTGCGCGCTCTGATTGGTTGGTTTATTGTCCACCTCCAGGAGCTCAGAGGAAAGCGCGTACGTGCTGCTGCTGCGCGTCCACTAGTCTCCACCTGCACTTTCAGCCTGCACCTCCATCTCTGCTCTGTCCACCTCTATCCACCACTATCTCCATCTCCACCACCACCACCACCAGTCTGTGTCCAAGTCCTCCCTGCAGCTCCAGGCCGGCCCACAAGCGCACCTGACCTGGACTGAGGACAGAGCCGCTCCTGCGCACACAGCACGGGAGAAGACGCGCTGTCGCAGAGGACGAGACGCAGCGGGAAAAACACCTCTGGGAATCCCTCTGCCATAGACTGGGATTTGAGTAGGACACGATAACTGGACACGTATTTCTTTTTTACGACATTGACTCTTTGGAGGCAGAACATTTGTCCACACTGGTCTTTGGGAGTCGCAGATACGCGCTCGGACTGTCATCTCTCTATTCGGATGTAAAAATCGGTGTCTTTGATGTCGCGTCTCCCCTCCCAGGAGTGAGTTGGGTTTTGTGGGGTAAATAAGGACGCTTTTCGGAGGGCAGCTTTCCCCCGCCTCTGCCTTACATAAATGTTTGCGTGCCGTTAGTCGACCCCCCTTCTCTCTCTCTCTCTCTTCCTCTCTCTCTCTCTTCACGCAGACAGACAACTTACGCACAAACGCCGACAAACATCCTTATGCACACGGGGTTCGCAGACAGAGCTCGTCCCTCCCCGGTCCACCCGTGCACTGCCCCTCACACCTCCACAATCTGATGTGTCCCAGGCGCGGAGCTGGACGCGACTGTAACCGAGCGCCTGTAGCATCCTCTTCCTCAGCGCGAGCCTCTTCCTCACCATCATCATGTCCTCATCCTCGCGTAAGATCTCCTCGGAGTCCTTCAGCAGCTCAGTGGGCTCTGACTGCGGACTCGAGAGCCCCGGGGGAGATGGGGGTCTGGAGCCCACGGAGGAGCTTCGAGGGTGCCCCTTTGCCTCCTTCCCCTCTGCCCAGAGAGCGATGCTGTGGAACGGCCGCAGCCCCGTGGAGAGGTCCGTGTGTCCTGAGGAGCAGGCGGCGAGTGTGCCACACAAGAGACCGACCAGGAGGAGACGTGTCAACCTGGACTCGCTGGGGGAGAGCTTGAGACGGATCACCTCACCCACGGTAAGATGACACTCTTATCTCCACCGCGGAGATCGCCCCATGGGGAATTAGGCCTGTCTGTATGGAGATAACGTACTTATGAAATGGCCATCACCTACAAGCAGCAACTGCAGAAACACTGTAGACTGTGCAATTGAATTAAGCTAATAGGTCTGTGACTAAAACAGGTTAAACAAGCCATACAGCACCACACACATGTAGTAAATACTTCTAATCAGGAGGTGACCTTGTACCTGAGGTAAGAGACACATTTTGCACTTTTGACGCACATTCTTGTGTCTAAACAATTTGTATTCTTTTTGGATGTGGTGTGTGCGTGGTGGGGGTCGGAGGGGCTGAAGGCACAGACTGGTTGCCTCTCTTCTGTCAGTGTGCCCCAGGGCAGCTGCGGCCATATCATCACCGTGTATAGAGTGAATGAATAATGATGTGATGTGTCTTGGAGCGGCCTAAAAAGTGCGATAAAAAAGCGATGCCTTCATACTCATATCAGGGGAAGGAGTCAGGAGCTGTCACAGGAAAGTTTCCTTCCTCTGTCTGCATCAACACAGTGAACAGTCCAGGCCTTTCTATATGAGTAGTTCATTTAAAAAAACACCTGACAGTAAAAAATCATTGAGTAAAAAAGGTGCTCTTTACCAAGCAGTTATTTTGAGAAGCCAGATTTAGTGCTTTACAATTAAAGTGTCACCCCTTCTTTAACCAATTATTTCTGCCAATATTCTCCCAACATTTGATTTCTTTAGCTAGAGGAATACATTTTTTTGAACTCTCCATATGCTGCCTCTGTAATATACACAATGTGGACGTCGACAAAGACGAAAGTTAGATGTCAATGTGTCTGTGAAAGAGTCCCATTCTTTTCCAGGAATAAACGTCCTCTCATGCTTTGTTTTTGTTGGGTATTTGGCCAAACTTTCTTTTCTCATGAGTTCAAGAAGGACCATTAAAATGCAGTGTGTCGCTTTACCGAGCCAGAGGCATCTTGTTTATAGCTTTGGAAAACAGACTGATTTGGTTTGGCCTGAGATTGGGAAACACACACTAAAAATATTAAAGATGAAAATGAAATAAAAGGCGGCACTTACCTTCAAGTTTCCACTGGGTGTATGTTTGCACGTGTGTGTGTGTGTGTGTGTGTGTGTGTGTGTCTGTGTACATTTGCCTGTGTGTGTGTATGTGTGTGTACAACTGCATGTGTCTGTATGCGTGTCTCTCTGTGTGTGTCTATGAAACGTGAAACCAATTCCGATACCGCTGAGAATATTAATAAATGCTCTTTTTGGACAATAAACTGTCAAAGTTCATCTTAAAATGTATAACTATTTTTTGAAGAAATATCTATTTGTGTCATATTTTTATGATCTTATTCTGTATTTATATTTTCCCAAATTAGTATCGAGTTTTGATTCTAGTTTTAGCATCGATTCATATCTGATTTCCGATACACGTATACGTATATACATGTGTGTGTGCGTCTGTTATCTGTGTGCATTGTGGTTTGCACATGTGTGTCTGTCTGTTGACTGTTATCTGAGTGTGTGTTTGTGTATCTGCATCTGTATCTGTATCTGTATCTGTGTGTGTGTGTGTGTGTGTGTGTATGTTTATTATCTGTGTGTGTGTTGTCTGCTGTGTTGTGGTGGCAGTGGTCATTAGCTCACTGTCCCGTGACGCTGATCAAACTCGGGGTTTGAGCAGAAACAGTGTGTGTTGTGTCTTTACTTTGATGCACAAACAGACGTCTGTGAACAAAACGACAAGTGCTGACAGATAAAACATTTTAGAAGTCACTAATTATTATTATTACAGCTGCCTCCCGCTAATCTCCATGATCTTATCACGTTACCAGGAATCCTCCACTGTACGGAGCTTCTGAAATGCAACTTAAAATGTGAAACCAACTTATGATATAGATTCCTAATTCACAACAAGACACAAGTCAAGCCTTTGATTGTTATAATGTTGATGATTATGGATTACGTTTTCAATATATTCTAATTTTACTTGGTCTTACCATAATAATCAACATTAAAACTATAATGGGCTTGATTTATCTCACTTACTCTGGAATAAGTCAGTCACATACAGTAAGTCCTCTGAGATAACTACGGTTGTAATTTAGGGCCATACAAGAATACATTGAATTGAATTGATTTTTTTAGTTTCACATTGTAGGTTAAAATAGAGAAATAAACGAACTTTTGAACAATATTCTCATCACAGTTTCTCCTGTAAGTTGTCTCAGTGTTCTTCTTATTGTCAGCTTTGAAAGTGCAGTATAATAAAATCTTGGCCAACATCAGCAAAAAATCTTTCTTCCATATCTTTTCGTGGATCGACTGCAACATATACTGTACATACTTTCTTAGCTACGTATTGATTGCTCTTTAATATTTATATGAACATTTTCGACTACGTTTTTTCAGTGGGTCGTGTGCCTCTGGTATTAATATGATACATGCATTTATATTGTATGAATTCGCAGAAAACTGACTGAATAAATAGATGCAGTGACACGTAAACACGTATGTTGCACAGGACTATATTCTCGCCTTGCTGTATTGCACGTGATTGCAGTATTTACTATTTACCGATGAAAGACATGGGTCAGAAGTCTCATTGTACGGTCTGACAGCAGCAGGAAGGAAAATTAGGCAGAACCTCTCCTTCACCTTCACACAGCGACGGTGGATCAGTCTGTCGCTGAAGCTGCTCTCCAAATCAAAGTCAAATGACATGATGAATGAGTTTGCTGCTACGTTAAGGGCTGCTAATCACGTGTATACAAAAGATAAAAGATACATTTAATATTGCTCTATAACGTGTATCTTTGCGTGTTTTCAGGTATGTAAGCTCCATAGATTGGAACACGCTTCTTAGTCCTGCCATGAGACAAAGGATGCCTCCACTCTTTCCCTATCACTGCACAAACACAAGAAAAATCACTGTTCTCCATAATCCAATTCTCCCGGCCTCCAACCTGAAAGAACCCAGCGCTTTGATTACACGGAGAGATGTTTTTGTGTTTGTGACAGATGAGGCTCGCTACACGCAATCTGTGAGAGGGCCTCGTCTGGAGTTTGAGCTCTCCTTAATGACATGCGTAATAAGGGTGTGTGCCAATACTTTACGGGGGATTGTGACATCGCACTGCAATTTTATTCTTCAATTTTTTTATATGTATTTATTAGTTATATGTACAAAAACATGCTGCCAAACACGTGATTTTATTTTGCTTCTTGTTCTCATGTAAGCCGCAATAATCAACACTTATAGACATTGGTCATCTGCCCCTTATGGACCAATGTGTTTTCTGTATTAACACCCTCCTTTGGCACATACAGGTGAAACTCGGATCTAATTCAACTTGCAATGTGAGACCGATATAGAATATAAACTGATAAATATGGCCTACAGTTCATTTTCAAAACATTCTAGAGTTATTATAGTTGGGAGTATTTACAAGCTTCTTCCCCGGGAGGAGACCCAGGACATGTTGGAGGGGCTGGTCTCTCAGCTGGCCAGGGAACGCCTCAGGATTCCCCCAGATGAGCTGGAGGAGGTGTGTGTGTGGATAACGAAGTCTGGGCGTCTCTGCTTAAACGGCTGCCAACACCACCCGGCTACGAATTTAGTGGAAGAAAAAGGATGGATGGTTTTTACAAGCTGTGAGCCATCAACATTATGACAAATAAAGACTTGATACATCTCACTTTGTCTCTACTTCACCATGCAAGATGAAGAAACAAAAGTAAATTGACTTTTGAACGATTTGCTAATTCCCCTGAGTTTCACCTGTGTGTGTTTTTTTCTGAGGGACGATAAAACAAACGCCCATCCATCCATCCATCCATCCATTTTCTTCCCCTTAGTCCATTTCTGGGTCGGGGGTAAGGCAAATCAGAGCTGCCACCCACAGCACACACAGTAGCACCAGCCCCTCACTGATCCTCCTGCAGGAGGTGAGTCCACAGGAGGATGTTCTGTCACAGAAAACACAGCCTTGATCTTTCAGAGGGGGCTTCTTGCAAAGTGGGGTTAAGTGTCTTGCGCAATGACACAATGACAGCAGTCATCAGTGGGAGTAAATGGAGAAGATCTAATGTGAGGACAAAACAAATGCTCAAAACAAAAATTCATACAAACACCATGATTCCACACTGTGGTTATAACATGAATGTCATCCTCCTAAAGGCACTCACTAAAAGCATTTGTTCAACCAATAACAATAACCCCATAGGTATTGCACTGTGTTGGTTCATCATACACATTGATGAACAATTCTGTGAAAGGGCCAGTGTCCTTACAGACTTTATCCTTAAGATAGTGTTGGCTTTTGTTCCAAGTTCAATCTGCTGAGGTTACCTCTCACAATGTGGCCAAGGCTACATGACTAATGTATGTAATAATATAGACTTACTAATATATGTAATAATATAGACTTACTAATATATGTAATAATATAGACTTACTAATATATGTAATAATATAGACTTAAGCATGAACAGGCTCATGCAAGGATTGGCCAAGTGAGGCCTGCACATTCCCAACTTCACCCTCCTATCATCCTATAGGGTCAATTTGAATCCCTTCAATGTTTTTAATTCTTCTTTAAATTTGTTCCATCATGACTTTTCATGATATTTAAATAATCATTTTTTCTTCAAAGTGCTGAGCACAGGTGCACACATTGGTGGTCCTCTGGGGTCAATTTGACCCAAAGCTGTTTTAGCTGTTAAAACCTGTCAGTGTGTGTGACCTGACATCCCCACACCTGCAGGTGTTTGTGGGTGTGTGTTTGTGTGTTTGTGTGGGTGTATAGTGTGTGCGCGTGTGTTTGTTTGTGTGGGTGTATAGTGTGTGTGTGTGCGTGTGTGTGTGACCTATCACGGGTGCAAAGTCGATATATTTGAGTCGATACATTTTGTTCTTTTCCCATGAGAACTTTGATACTTTCCCCTCGCACCAGGAGAAACAAATCCTTGCTCTGACTCTGCACCTGCACTCTCACTCTCTGTCTCTGAGACAGACGACTGTGTTGAAGAGGATCCTGATTTTGAGGAATTCTCATCTGATGAGAATGAGAGCGTTGACCCTCCTGTTGTCCCTCAACCATCAGCAGACACAATCTCTTCCAAAAGTGGAAAGATAATATGGTCCCTTTCCCCACTGACAGCAGGGCAGACTGAGAGCTACTAATATGATCAAAATGGTTCCAGGACTTACCAGATCCATACCATCAGCCATGTTGATGACATAAGTCATCATTCAAGCTCTTCGCAACACCATCCATCAAACATATTGTTCTTGTGATGACACTGGTGTGTTATGGGGACAGTTGGAATGACTTGGATGTAGTCGAATTGGAAGCCTATTTTGGTTTGCTAATTCTGACGAGTTTAGAAATCAAAGGTTAAACAACAGCAAATATTTGGAATGCTGCGACTGGAAGAGCAACATTTCCAGCCTCCATGTCTCTGAAGGCCTTCCATGTTTTGTCCCGTTTTATTCTCTTTAATGAAAAGAAGTGGAGTGAGTGATCCTGCAGCTCCTAGCTACAAATGTTTTACAAAAAACAAGATAAAAATAAGTCACAAAATATGTTTATGAGAGGGAAGGGGAGGTCACCAACATCAATCAACTTTGTTCATTCTGTGAAATCATGAATGTGCTCTAAAACTGAAAGTTTGACCTGATGGTGGCGCTATAGGTAAGATCTTATCTCACAAAAACTTGACTAGTGGTCAGTGATAAGTCCATTTGAAAAGATTTTTTACAAAAACTTAAAGATAAAATAATTCTAGATTAAAGGTTTGGTCTAATGGTGCTGGAGAGTTCAACTCACTGATAAAAGGGTTATTTATGTGTTCAACAGATAAACAAAAGTGCTGTTTACACGGAGACACTGCGACAGTAGTTGGGTATCGGATTGGCCTTTCGTTTATATGAAGACGGTGTTTCAGACGGTGACAAAGTAAGCGCTGAGAAACAGCCTCCAGAACACACAGCTGTGTGAAGAAAAAGATGTGAATTCTCTGCTGCTATGACCTCACCACTTCCAGTAGCTGAGAACAAACGTAAACAACAATGGTAGTTTCAGTTTCCATTTTTGCAGCTGCTGCTTCCTGCAGAATGATGTTGGTGCATTCTTTCACGTCTTTGTGGCGGCCAGAGAAGTATGTTGTTGAGGAAGTGATTAAACTCTGCAGTGTCTCCGTCTAAACTGGGCCAAAAAGTGTCAAAAAAACTGTATAAATCATTTTCTGGAGGTGAGTGATAGGGTCAGATTGACCCCATGAGGATGATAAAAGAGTTAAAATAAGACCATTTTCAATTAACAAGCTGATCTAAAGATTAGACAGAGGCCAAACGATACATGCATGTGAAAACTAGAGATAGAATCAAACCGTTTTTTGTTGTATTTTTTTTCACAAAGTACTCTAGTTTTAATATTAATGAAATTTAGTATATGTACAGTTAACATTTTAGCACACTTTATTACGTATCTAGGCATTAGGAATTCATCCCAAGCTTGGCACCATCTTTTATTAATCTGGATATGGAAAACAAAGGCAATGACAAGGTTGTATTTTATTAAAACCACAGTTTGTCTATTTGGGAAATCAGTCATTCAGAAAAGTTATATGAGTTTAGAAATCTACAAGAGAGAGAGAGGGAAAGGGAGAGAGGGAAAGGGAGAGAGGGAAAGGGAGAGAGGGAGGACATGTCAGAGCCAGAGAAATGAGTTGAGCTCTTCTTTGAAAGTCAGAACAAACAACAAAACAATTTGGGAGACAACATTTAATAATTATGAATTGCGTGCACTTAAACTACCCTCGGCAGAGAGATGGCGTGAACGTCCAGCTCATTGTGGCTCTGGTGCGATTAACATGCAACGGCCTGTTGAGTTGTGTGTACAGTAAACACGCTCACAATGCGGGCTAACGATGGGGATGTGTTTGTGTTGAGCTGCGGCTGCACATGTGTTCTGAGGCCTGATAACAGATCGCCTCTGTTCGGCCCTGTGTGTGGTCAATGAGTGGCCAAACCAAGGGTAACTCCGTGAGAAACACAATGTGGGAAAAACGGGTTCGATTTTCAAGTTTGTCACATCAATATCAAGTCATGTGCAAAGCTAGGCCCAGTACAGCATTAGAAACATGTTTGTCTGTTTGTTTACACGTCTAATGACAGTATGGGCACCGAGACTACAGATATAGCAACAATATGAACCAGGACTGAACCAGGACTAAAGCAGGTCTGAACTAGGACTAAAGCAGGTCTGAACCAGGACTAAAGCAAGTCTGAACTAGGTCTAAAGCAGGACTGAACCAGGACAAAAGCAGGTCTGATCCAGGACAAAAGTAGGTCTGAACCAGAACTAAAGCTCGTCTGAACTAGGACTAAAGCAGGACTTAACCAGGACTAAAGCACGTCTGAACTAAGTCTAAAGCAGGACTGGACCAGGACAAAAGCAGGTCTGAGCCAGGACAAAAGCAGGACTGAACCAGGACTAAAGCACGTCTGAACCAGGACAAAAGTACTGTAGGTCTGAACCAGAATTAAAGCTCGTCTGAACTAGGACTAAAGCAGGATGGAACCTGGGCTAAAGCAGTATGGAATTGGGACTAAAGCAGAACTAAGCCAGGACTAAAGCAGTATGGAACCGGGGCTAAATGCAGGGCTGAACTAAGATTAAAACAAGACTGAACTAGGACTAAAACAGGACTGAACCAGGACAAAAGCACGATTGAACCGGGACTACAGCAGGACTGAACCAGGGCCAAAAAAGGACTGAACTGCGACTGAAGCAGGACTGAACGGGGACAATAGCAGGACTGAACCGGGACTGAAGCAGGACTGAACCGGGAAAAAGCAGGTCTGAACCAGGAATAAAGCAAGTCTGAACTAGGACTAAAGCAGGACTGAACCAGGACTAAAGCAAGTCTAAACTAGGACTAAAGCAGGACTGGGACAGGACAAAACAAGACTGAGCCAGGACGAAAACAGCGCTGGGCTATGGCAGAACTAAACCAGGACTAAAGCCGGTCTGGGCCATGATGAAGCAGAACTGAACCAGGACTGAACCGGACTTTGAATGTACAAGCCACAGACAGACGCTTTGTGTATTGTGTAGATCAATGTGTTTCCATGTTTGAACAAATATACACTTTACACTAGATAATGTACAATAGATTAACCATCATTAAACACTCTGTCAACTATCGGACAACATACTTCCAATGGACACTGCACTAGTCTCTAAAATGCAACAGATCAAGCAGGAAGTGGATCGTATATTGACGTTTCATCACACATCAACAGAAAAGCATTATTGTTATTCCTATATGTCCATGTGTTCCAGTATTCTCACTACTTCTGTGCATTTGACCACACATCATCAGATTGTGGCCAGCTCAACAGCTCAAAGAGACAGACATACACCGTGCAGACCAAACACACATACAGTAATTTAACCAAAGTAATAATAATATTCTAATAATATTTTATTTTTTGTTATAGGACACACTGGAGCAAACATTGCAGTAAAACAATTCACAGTTTTTGACACAAAGACCCTGCTACTTCTTCACTATTCACCAACACTGACAGAGCTCAGAAGTTAAGCAGGGCAGGGCCTAGTTAGAGCTGTGATGGGAGACCTGTGGGTACACCTGATACCAGTGGGACTGCTAAATCGTTTCCTCAGGCAAGATACATGATTCCTCCACGTTGCCTGGTATTAGTCTGGTGTCTGTGTGAATGATTGGTGGTTGTCAGAGGGGCTGATTACAGTACATTTTAGTAGCCTCGCCCCAGGGCAGCTGTAGCTACGGTAGCAGTTCACCTCCACTGTGTGCAGAGTGAATGAATAAAACCATGTTCTTTTGTGATTTTGCAGACACAGACTGTTCAGGAAGCTCTGCAGCGGACTCTTCACTTCTACAGGCAGCAGGAAATCAGGTGAGCTTTCTACATACCATACGGTTTCCCTGTATTTGTCTACTTATCAGGATGTCGGCCTCCACTTTCTTTCTACCCATTTCCTCACCTATCAATGCATTTGTCGCTGCTGCCTACTTATCTCTGGGTGTATACTTGCACTCTTCATGGTTTCTATTGGCCAGCTCTCCTCTCCCTGCTGTCTGCTGTCTTCCTAAGTTCCTACCTGCTGTCTCCCTGGTGTCTACCTGCTGTCTACCTAGTGTCTCCGTTCCATCGCCTGCTGTCATGGGCTTTCTGGAGGCATTCCCATCTCTCACTCTCCTCCACGCCCACGTCAATGTCTGCCTTTCACACATGTCTTTGCTCACACCTGCTCAGTCCCTGCCTCTCCCTGTCTCCTCTTTTCTCTCCTCTTTCACAGATCTCCTTCAATCGTTTTATTTGATTATTATCATGATTTGTTAATACCTTAATTTATGTTTGAAAGAGGTTTCATGTGAAGGGCTTTAATCATCTGTACTACTATTGCTGTGTTTCATAAGGTGTCAGGGGGCCGAGGAAAAAAGAAAAGAAAAAGAGGACAAGTGCCCGTTTCTAGAAAATTCTGGTTCAGAGGAAGATGTTCTCCAAATCCTGCAGTACATGGCCACCATAATGGGTAAGGCATCTCTTATTCTCTCATTGTCCTTGAAAGTATCAATATGTATTCGTCTTATAACCCGTTTCTCCACACTCCAGTCTAAAAAAAATCAGTGTTTATATCGGGCGTTATTATAACATTCCCCTGAGGGCAGATCTTTGAAAAAGCCTCTGTAACTTCTCCTGAAAATAAAAAGCAGTGTTGTCGAATGGTGTGCATGCTGACACACACGTTCATCTATTTACACACACAAAGGCTGCTTACAGCCTGTGCCTGTGCGAGTCAGTCTCTGCAGTCCCAGAAAACACATACGTGTGGTGCTTGTGAGTCACTCAGCACATGTTTGTTCTATCATAGTCTTCTCTTACCTTTTCTCCCTCACGTCCTCCTCTGCATCCTCTGCAGTGCTGCTCACTATGCAGACAGGAGCTGGAGTCGGCTGTTAATTAACTTTACTCTGACCTTCACTAATGTCCTGTTTTTCTTGTTACAAAGTGCACAGGCTGTCACTGGTCTTTGTACAACTGTTATTGAACATAGTTCATCGTACATTGAACATACCTCATGTACTTCAATATAATATGTCTGTGAACTGTGAAGGCCAACTGACACGGTCTGTCCCAGGTTTTCCACGACCAAATGGTCTGTTATTCCCGACCATCTATTCCTACTTTTGTTACATCCTTTAAATATTGTACCCTGGATTAAACCAAAGAAACCATGTCACACTGACTGCACATTATCAAGTCACTAATCATGAGTATTCTTCTGGGTGTTAGAGCGAGAGAGGAACAGATTTAATAAAGTGAAGATGTGATGTTGGGGTGATATGAAGCAGTTTACAATAATAATTATATTAATCTTAGTTTAGAGTAGATTGTGTACTGCACACATGTAAAGTAATCTTTGTCCTCTTCTCAGGAGTGCCATTCTGTGAGCTTCGGGAGCATTTTGGAGAGGAGTTTTTTGGCCTATGTTTTGAAGAAAATGAGCGGGTGCTCCGTGCTTTGGGAGGAAACCTTCAAGACTTTTTCAATGGTTTTGATGCCATTTTGGAACACATTCGCACCTCCACAGGGCGCCGAGCCTCATCTGAAAGCCCGTCCTTCCAGTGCAAGGACCCGCATGAGGAGGAGAAAGGACAGAAAAAGCTGCTGAAGATGTCAGATGAAGAACGAGGGAGTAGAGCCAAAGTGCTTCTGCTTCATTGTTTGAACCCGGCACCGGTGGTGGGCTTGGTGATGCCAGGGCTCATCAAAGCTGTGGCCAGACGCCTCTATCGTTCTGAGGTGGAGGTGGAGGAGGTTCCTCCTCTGACGCCTCTTCCCTCAGAGGACTTGGAGCAGACAGATGGAGACTCCAGGAGCCCCACTCCCACTGCTTCCCCCACAGTATCACCCTCCTCGTCCCCTTCCCCACCCTCAGCCTTTCCCACCTCCAGTCCCACAGTCTGCCTGTCCTTCCAGATCCAGGAGACACGCTCTTTGTCCCTCACCCCTGTACCGATCACAGCCTGTGGGAGCTCCAAAAGACCACCTCTGTCTCTGTCCACTAACCCCAGCGACCTGCGTATTGGCCTGGCCACGTTCTGCCGGGCCTTTCCGTTCCACCTGGTTCTGGGACCTGGCATGGAGCTACTGCAGCTTGGAGAAGGACTTAGAAAACAGGCTCGCATCGAGTCTTACAGAGTCCTTGCTTTCAGGGACTGTTTTGAGATTGTTTCGCCCAAAATAGAGCCTTCTTTCAAGGGAATACTCCTAAGGCTATCGTCCCCGTTTACCATCCGCACCAGGCCTGACAGCACACAGACTGGAACTAAAGAGAAGGTACGTGTGACGCCCTCTATATATACCTATATTTATAGTTAAAGCTGGTGTACATCGTTTTTCTTCTTTTCCTTCAAGACCAACAATAATGAATAAGATTAACACATGTAACTATTACATAGTTCATGGGCGGCACGGTGGCTGAGTGGATAGCACTCTTGCTTCTCACCAAGAAGGTCCTGGGTTTGAATCCCGGTCGGACCAGGGCCTTTCTAGGTGGAGTTTGCATTTTCTCTCCGTGTCTGCTTAGGTTTCCTCCAGGTACTCCGGTTTCCCCTACCACTAAAAACATGTACATAGGTCTGGCATGCGCCTCCTGTAGTGGCGACCCGGCTCTCATCTCTGTGTGGAGTGAGAGGACAGCGCTTTGTGACTCTGGTCTGTGAAAAGCGGCATATAAATAAATATTACTTACTTAATTACTTAATGATTATTGTATATTACTTAAATAGTTCTTCAAATATAAAAATGAAATGGTTGAAAAAAGTAAATGAATAGAGACATTTACAGGAAATTAGTACTTTACATTTACAGTTACTTTAAGTTTGGAATCCAATAATTTATAAATGGAAGAAGCTGGACGTTGTACTTTCCATTGATCTTTGTTCTTAAATTAAAATCCGTCCTTATGCTGTACTTCTTCATTATCGTCATTTTGTTTCAATTTAATTTCAATTCATTACTGTACAGCCCTAAACCACAACTGTAGTCATCTCGTAGGACTTTACAAAGTTGTCGGTTCATCAACACAGATCAGAGAATCAGACAGTATTCACAATCCACCAGCTGAATTGATCTATTTTCCTCTTTTCTGTCCGGATAGTTCGATCGCGTTACATTTTTAAGTGTTTGTGACAAATAGGAGTAGATGAACCCTGCTTTAGGTATCCACGTCGCCCTAAAATGTCTGTGCTTTGTTTGCAACACAAGTCTGCGGGGTCGGGACTGGCCTTAGTCTTAAACTTAAACTGGTGTTCAACATAGAGTAGACGCACACACTGGTTCTGTGATGTCACATGCTCAGTGTGGCACCTGCAGAGACACTCGCGCGGCACAGAGAGGGAAGGCCTGACATTTTCACAGAAAGGGCAGCAGTGCGAGGCGACAGGCCCTGGTAAAGAGGCCACACGTGTGTTTGAATGGGCCGTTGTGTCTTCTCCCAGGGATATGGCCGGTGCTGAGGACCTCCTGGAAAGGTCAGGGCACACATTGCTCTTTCAGCGTACAGTGGGAAGTGTACACAGCGCCTTTCAACTCTTGCATCATCTGAACATCATGTCTGTCGCGCCGCTAGGTGAGACAGACACCTGTCAGGTGAGGTTGAGCTGTTTTAGTTTACCTTGAGATCTATGGGACTCATCAAATTTAGTCTGCAGTACCACAGCGCCCCCTGTGCCCTTGGGTGGGACAGTTATAAGCTAGTAATACCCTATCCAATTATTATTATAGATCCATGAGAGCACCTTAAAAGTGATATCTGCCAGATTCATGGAAAAAGAATAAAAACTGAAACATAATGACATTAGTATACATATATCTGTCCAGTCAAATTACAAATCACTGCTTTTGTTAATATATTGATGACAAAACACTAGCGCAGGTTGTCTAGCATCTCCGCAGTGCATCCCCAGACCTCGACATATTTCCGTTATTGATTAGTCCGTGCCGCTCTCACCAGTGCAATAATCTGCAGAAGAAAGGATCTCACATTCAGAGTTGATTGCAGACTTGATGACCTCTTTGTGCTGAGGCGTCCGTAGTGTCTGAGATGCACCTTCATGTGTTGTCGGCGTGCGTGAGTGAAGCAGAGCGCTGATGGGCCTCCGCTGCTTGTTCATGCAAATAGGAGTGTGTTGACACGCCACAGTCCGAGCACAAAGGACGCTCTATTAGCTTCTTTTCCACCTTGCACCGTCCCTCTCCACGCTCTCTGCCCCTCCCTCCTCCAGACCTGCTCATGGCTCTGGAAGTAACTATTCTGTCCAGGCTGGCTACAAAAAAGCTTCAAATCTGTTTCATCTATGACATTAAATCACCAGATCTTTCACACAAATAGATAGATAGATATACACTTTAAATCCAGGTGTCCGGTAGCAGCAGAAACACATCCATTCATACGAACAAAACAAATAAACACATTATTGTAAAAGTAGCTAACAATAGTATTAAAAATGCAACAGCACTTTAGGTCACAGCAGCAGAGGTGGAGAAACCGCTGGGTGGTTCAGGACTGGTCTCAGCATCAGAGGTAGAGTAAATTTCAATGAGATTAAATAAAAAGTTTGTAACGTCTTCTGTTGAACTCATTGACTGCCATTGACGTATTTGTCTGAGACTGATAATTTTTGTCAAACTTCCCTCTATTCGACTGGGGATTACAGAAGAACAAAACTAGCTAGAAACCAACGTATTTTTGCCAATGAAAGACCGCAGTCCAGTCTTTCAGAATCCGGTTTCACATTTCACCTCGTAATAGCACACAATATTCTGTGGGTCTTGAAAATCAGTGAAATTGTCAAAAACGGCTGGCAGTCAATGAGTCAAGGCTTTGAAGGTTTGATCAAAAGGACAAAAGCTGCAGATTTCTGGGATTGTGTCTCAGCAGAAGACATGTTGTATTGTTGGCACACAGCATGAGCGACACAACCAGAGTTTTCACAGCGTTCTATACCCAGAGAGATTAAGGAGCAAGCCCTTCAGAATCTGCAACGTGGAAAGGGACTGACTTCTGCAGACTGCTGTAATGACATAACATAATTGCACAAAAAGTGTCATTTAAGATCAATAGGTTCTTTTAATGTAGTGTAAAGAAGCTAGTACTAAAACAGGTGGGATTAAATTCTCGGGGCCTTATCATTGGAAAGAAATTCTGATTATTAGATATTTTTATTTTTTGTGTGAATGTGAAAAATCATTTTGTTTTTGTTTCTCTTTGTTTTTTTCTTGTGTGTTTTTGTTTGTACCTTTTGTCCTTGCTTTGTATTTTTACTTATGCTTATATTTCTGTTTGTCTCCCTTGATTTTCTTGATTGTCCCTAAATAAAACATTAAAAAAGAAGCCAGTACTACTACAACAGGAAGAAATATGCCAAGCAAACAAGCAGTACTATCTTCACACTCTTTATCTTATTGAAATAACCTTCTAAGCTTTGCAGAGTTCCATTTTATGTAATTTTTGTCCTCCAATTTGTATACTTCTTTAATCGTTCCGCGTTCATCTTGATCTGAATGTGCGCCGTGTGGCAGGACGACTGAGGAGTGAGCTGAACGTTCAACTAGGCCAACGCTGTGGCCTCCAGGGATGTGCGTCGCTGTCTCAGCCTATATTTTTACGTCACATGTGCCATTGTGTGTACTTGTGAGCCGGAGAAGCAGAGGGAGGAGGGGGCTGAGAATTGCATATGGAACATTAGCTGCTTTTAATAGCACCATTACTTATCTTGGAATCATGATAATTTGTTCAAAACGGAATGACCCCTGTGCTTTTAGCGGGGCTTTAGTATTTATAATTTACTGTAGTATACTATGAAACGTCTTCTGGGTATATAGGAATTTGTCTATGTATAGTGTGTATGTGACAATAATGGACCTGAACTAAACAGATCACAGTTTATGATTTAACGTTTGAAATGTGTAGAAACATTAAAGGAGCTATACCCGTTTCTGAAAGGTTTGACTGTTTAGCACCGCCCCCAACTCGCTCACAGGCTTCTCATTTCCCCTACGCTCTCATGGCACAGAGCCATCTATTTTTATTTGCGATCTGATACGCGTGAAAACATTAGCATGATGATGATCTTGTAAACTGTACAACAATCACTGATAAAATGGTACAAAAGCAACGCACTGCTAACAAAATATATAACTGAAAGATCACGGCTAGTTCCGCGTTCGAATGTAGTCCGAGCATAGATAGTCCAAGCGTAGATAGTCCTAGCATAGATAGTCCTAGCATAGATAGTCCAAGCATAGATAGTCCTAGCATAGATAGTCCAAGCATAGATAGTCCGAGCATAGATAGTCCTAGCATAGATAGTCCGAGCATAGATAGTCCAAGCATAGATAGTCCGAGCATAGATAGTCCAAGCATAGATAGTCCTAGCATAGATAGTCCGAGCATAGATAGTCCGAGCATAGATAGTCCAAGCATAGATAGTCCGAGCATAGATAGTCCAAGCATAGATAGTCCAAGCATAGATAGTCCGAGCATAGATAGTCCAAGCATAGATAGTCCGAGCATAGATAGTCCGAGCATAGATAGTCCGAGCATAGATAGTCCGAGCATAGATAGTCCTAGCATAGATAGTCCGAGCATAGATAGTCCGAGCATAGATAGTCCGAGCATAGATAGTCCGAGCATAGATAGTCCGAGCATAGATAGTCCAAGCATAGATAGTCCGAGCATAGATAGTCCAAGCATAGATAGTCCGAGCATAGATAGTCCGAGCATAGATAGTCCGAGCATAGATAGTCCGAGCATAGATAGTCCGAGCATAGATAGTCCGAGCATAGATAGTCCGAGCATAGATAGTCCGAGCGTAGATAGTCCGAGCATAGATAGTCCGAGCATAGATAGTCCGAGCATAGATAGTCCGAGCATAGATAGTCCGAGCATAGATAGTCCGAAGCGGCCCCGTAGGTCACTCCCATAGACAAGTCTTTCCACAGGATACAATATAAGCTAGCTGTTTACCCGGGCTTGATTTCTTCTTTGATCATGTTGTGGCTTTAGTTCCCTCTTCTCTTCCTCGCTGTTGTGTCGTTTGGGCTGTTTTGCTGTGTCTGCAGTTACAGCCAGAGGAGTTATAGCCACTTATGCTAACATGCTACTGTGTTTACCAGCGCTGTAGAGGCTAGAGGACGCAGCGTGTTCGTAACAGCGCCGCTCCTCGTTCTGTGATTAGAGGAGAGCAGGCGTCACGCTAAAGTCTCTATTCAGCACTTTTTACGGCCTGAATTCATACACAAGCTGAAATAATGAGCTCAACTTTTCAATTAAATTACGGATTATAATACAATTTGTACAGCTATTAAATCTGCACAAACTGACTTTGGGATTTTGAAGCAGCGGACCCGCTGGCCTCTCTCTTTCTGCTCCCCTCCCCGCACCCGCGAAGCTATTGCCCCCCACACACACCCACTGTTGTAGACGGAGCTAGCGTCTCCCAATATGGATAATACATGGACATGGATTTGCACGTGGATGGCGTGACCATAGAACGATAGAACCGGGAAGAGCGGTGGAACGAGACTTTCTTTTGGATGGCTGTTTCGCTGTGTAAGCAGTAACCGGTGACGAAGACGAGGAAGCTTCAGGTTAGCTCCGCCACTTGTTGTGCTAACTCAGCCGTCTGTGCTAACGGACCTGAAGATTTCTCACAAAAGTGGGGGCCAGTGGTCCGCTGTGATTGGTCACAATCTGCGACCCGAAACACATTCTCTTCCTTGTTTCATCAAAACTCGATCTAAAATATAATGTCACGAAAGAAAAAATCTGCGTTATACTTTTTATTCAAAAGGACGTATATCCCAATTCCGTAATGAATACAAAAATAAAGTTAGTGCAGCTTTAACTCTTATAGCTTCTTTAACTCATGGATATATTGATTACCTTACACAACATTTATATGCAGGCTTTAATGTAAGAAGTAGTCCCCCTTGAAATACGGGTGAAACATTATCTTTTACTCTGAATGTAATTTTGACTTTGTTTTATTTGACTGTTATTACAAACAAAATTGCCTTCAATATTAATTTCAACAACATAATAACAATCATCACAACGTGTCCATAGTAACTCTCATGGCTCTTCTTAAACAACAAATACGGGATACAGTTATCTAAAAACAAGGAGCCAGTTGACATGGATTAGGCTTCTGTTTGGGATGCCTCCTGAACGCCTCTCGAGGAAGGTGTTCTAGGCATGTCTCACCAGGAGGAGACCCTGAGGAAGACCCAGGACACGCAAGAGGGACTTTTTCTCTCAGCTGGCCTGGGATGAAGTGTGTGCTGATAGGGAAGTCTAGGCAACTGCTGCCCCCATGACCTGGGAACAGATATAGCGGGAGCAAATGGATGTGTGCTTTTAAAAAATCTGAAGACAATGTGCAGTGGTCTGAATCTGAGTCTGAGCAGAGTTTCTTGCACAATGTAATCATTCATGAGAAAAGAAATGTTCAGCTCTAACTGGAGGCTTAGAAGGAGTTACACAGAGAAGCAAGGCTGCAGTGGACTGGAGATGGGAGTGCGACCGCGCTCCCATCTCTGTGTGGAGTGAGAGACAAATGCCCAAAAATTAACAATTGTAAACCGCTTTGAGACTCAGATCTGCAGTGAAAAGGCGGTATATAAATAAATACTTACTACTTACTTACTTACTATTTTTGCATTTGAGTCATAAACACATTTGAAGCATACACTTGTGCACGACCTGCTTGTTTCCATGGAAAGTTTAAAGGCAAAAATCCGCCGCGTGAAATAAAACTGTAACTTATACAGAAGATAGGTATGTTATTGTTTCTTGCAGGTGGAATTTCACCTCTGAATTGTTGCTAAGATTCTTACGCTGTGTGTAGATTTGGAAGCGTGTCCTTCAGATCTCCTCCATTTGCACACTCTCTGTTGCACACTTACTCCTCTCCGCTCCTCTGTCCACATCGAGTCTGACAGCGACATTTGTACAAGCGGAGCTGAAGTATGTGTTGAACTTTCTCTGTGGCTTTCCTGATTCCACAGTCTCCATGGCGACGGCTGTTATTATGGCAGCCAGGCAGGTAGGCCCTCCCACTCGACAGACACTACCTCAGCAAACGCAGCTCTGCTCCCTGACTGATCCATATGCACACAAACATGTCCCAACAGACCACAAGCACACTGTAATTAAGCTTTCAAAAAGTTGTATGAGGTTTCTGAAGTTTACTTTAGGGAATGCAGACTCCAGAATAACATTTTCAATTCATTTACATTTCTCTGCCAATCAAATCCACCGCTGCCGTTGCATCCGTTAACGCTTGCCCCGGACCCTACAGCGTGAATATTTGATTATGTCTCTCAGTTTGCCTCATGCCTCCCTGTAGAAATGGACGGTCTTGGCCCTATAGAGACTATTGGGTGTGTTAGTGCAAAGATGAATAGTGTGTCTGCTTGTGTGGATACAGACTATGTATAATGCAGACCTAGGAGAGCCTTGTGCTATAAATAAAGCAGGGCTGCAGTGTGCTCACTAGCGGAATAATCTATCTGACACTATGGAGGAAGAACGAGAGGGAAGGACAAGAGGAGGGACGAAGAAGAGCAAGATGATGGGAAAGGTACACAATCAATTCTGTAGATAAGTTCATCACGAGACATCATACCCTTTTCTGACCTAAAACTGAGCTGGAAAAGCAGAACTCGGGATAATAATCCGATGTGATGCTGTGTCGAATGTCAGTGTGTGTGTGTGTGTATGTGTGTGTGTGTGTTGGAACATTTGTCGGATCAGGTGGTGGTTCTATGATGTAGGTGAACAGGGCAGTATATGTAAGATGGCTTCCCAGGTGATCATCCCATTAGACAGCAGAATTAACTTCACATGAGTGTCTTATTTGGGTTGCCACTGTCTTTGGTGAAATCCAGCTGCTTTGGTCCAGCTGGTGTAAGGTAATCAGAGCTGGGTGAACTGCTGAAGTGTGTGTGTGTAATCTACATGTAGGGACTGTTGTAATTAGGCTTTTTTAAACCTGTAATGCAAATACTGGGCGATTGCTGTAATGAGACCATTTACTGCTGTCACTGATTTATAAAATAATTGTATTAACTCTATTAGCTCAATTTTGTAATAAGTGATCAGTGAAATAAAGGGAAAAGGCTGTTTTTAATCACTTGGCGTTTGGTTCATGTCGAGTTTTGTCAGATATTGGAGACTTAAGTTTCGACATCGGTATCAGTATCAGAATCAGAATATTTTTTATTGCCACGTAAGTAACAGGAAGTCACAGACTTGGAAATTGCTTTGGCTCAGTGCAACAGTCAGAAAGAGATAATAAAAATAAAGAATAAAAAACACTTCCAAGGAATACATTTAAATTTAAAATAGAGTTACAGTTACTATTTACAATATACAAGTGCACATGGTGCACACAATGTAAGGTGACAGCAGTACAGTGAAGTAAAGTGACGTATGATGGGCAGTAAAGTGACTTTATAAAGGGCGGGGGGACAGGTTAAGAAGTGTTCAAGAGTCCAACAGCAGAGGGGAAGAAACTGTTCTTGTGGCGGGAGGTTCTAGTCCTGATGGACCGCAGTCTCCCGCCTGAGGGGAGTGGTTGGAATAGTCCATGTGCAGGTGAGAGGGGTCGGCTGTGATACGACCAGCCCGGCCTCGAGCTCGGGCGACGTATAGGTCCATAGGACGTATAGGACTTCCTCTGCAGAGCGCACAATGCGCTGTAGTCTCCGTTTGTCCCTGACTGTGGCTCCAGCGAACCACACGGTGATGGAGGAGGTGATGGAGGAGGTGATGGAGGAGGTAATGGAGGAGGTGCTGGAGGAGGTGAGGATGGACTCGATGATGGCCGTGTAGAACTGCACCAACATCTGTGCAGGCAGCTTGGCTTTCCTGAGCTGCCGCAGGAAGTACATCCTCTGCTGGGCCTTCTTGATGAGGGAGCTGATGGTCGGCTCCCACTTGAGGTCCTGGGTGATGGTGGTGCCCAGGAAACGGAAGGACTCCACAGAGGTGATGGGGGAGTCCATCACGGAGGGTGGGGGTGGGGGGACAGTGCTCTTCCTGAAGTCCACAATCATCTCCACTGTCTTCTGGGCGTTCAGCTCCAGGTTGTTACCACTGCACCAGGACACCAGCCGGTCCACCTCCCTCCTGTAGGCGGACTCATCGTTGTTGGAGATGAGTCCAATGAGGGTGGTGTCGTCCGCGAACTTGATCAGCTTCACGGAGTCATATCAGGCATGAACATACTGTATTAGTGCATTCTGAGCAAGAACACTCTGGTTTATTGACGTGTTTTATGGTTCAAATCTGTAATTATCATAGCTATCTACATGAAATGTTTGGATCAGTCAGCAAGAAGGTCCTGGGCTCGACTTCCACTTGGCTTAGGGAATTCTGAGTTTGCATGTTCTCTCTGTGTCTGTGTTGATTTTCTTCTGTTCTTCTCCCATTTCCCCCATCACTAAAACATGTACAGTGGGAGAGCGGTGGAAAACAAATTCTGGATGGTGTACTGAGCTGTTCATTAATACATACAGTCTTGCCTCATTCAAATAAATGAATGTTCTTTACCGAAGATATAGAAATCATTCAGAGAAAAAATAATACTTCGTAATACTGGTGTGAAAGCAACACGTGCTTCCTGATCATAGTCCTGCAGTTTCATGTAGATTTACAATGAGTTCATGAAGGATTGACTGACATTAGTGGGATTCATAACTAGGTCACCAGTTTACCCACATGGTTTATCAAGGAAAGGCATATTACTTAGAAGTATTGTACCATATCATACCAGTACTACTGATAAAACATTGGTTATTAACATCTGTATTCTGTATTCGAAAAAGGACAATTTAGATAAACTGTTGTTGTGTCCTTTGGCAAGACACGTCACCCACATTGCTTTGTATGAGTCTGGTGTGTGCATAAATGGTTGGTGGTGGCCCCAGAAACAACTGGTGTTTTTGAGTGTCTAACAAAATCACTATATAAAGCTGTTTTATGGTTTTTCCATGTCTTTTTATACACAAACTGGGGGCTAGTCCTCACTTTGCCCTATAGCCCTTTGAGAGAATGTGTAACTTTTCATCAACTCGATACAGATCTCCCCTTTGCATACACTGGCCTTTGAGCCAAAACTCTAATGAATCTTGTATCCTGTGTTTGACAGGTGATGGAGTTAAAAGGGCAGATGATCCACGTTCCGGAGTCGTGCTCGCTCATGTTCCTGGGGTCTCCTCGTGTGGATAAGCTGGAGGAGCTGATGGGCCGTGGTCTGCATCTGTCAGACATCCCCATCCACGACGCCACCAGAGATGTGATCCTGGTGGGGGAGCAGGCCAAAGCACAGGACGGCCTGAAGAAGAGGATGGACAAGCTGAAGGTGCAGCTGCTCACACACTAAGGCACTTTCACAAACAATTCTTTAATTTCACTGATGTTGAAGATATAATTTTTCTACTGAAATTACTGTAATATTCTTATCTAACTTATCTTTAATGGAGCATGAACATTTCTTTTTCTCATTTATTTATGGCCCAATCTCCCATGTAAACCTTGACAAATATATCAACTGATGGAAGTTCTCAACATTGTGAATGAAATTACCAAACATTTGCACGCCTCAGCAGTTTTAACTTGCTGCACTATTCTTTTAAGATTTTTATTAATGCAAATAAACAGTCATCCATCCATTTTATTCATTTTTATCCATTGCTGTTTTGTGGAGGCAGCAGTCTAAACACAGATGCCCCTCTCCACACACATTTCCTCCATTCCATCATAGTAAGTAAGTAAGTAATCTTTATTTATATACCGCCTTTCACAGACCAGAGTCACAAAACGGTTTACAATTGTTATTTTTGAGCATTTGTGTCTCATACGCCACACAGAGATGGGAGCGGGGTCGCCAGTACAGTTCTTATGTGCCTGAACTCCTCACTCTGCAGAGTGCATCTGCAAGCTTTTTGTCATCACCCAAAGCTCATGACCATAGGGGAGGGTGGGAACATAGATTGATCTCTTCACCACAATCCCTTTACTTCACCAGAACAGTCCAATACAGCTCTGACTGCAGACGCTGCTCCCTCTTCACCCCAACAGTCTGATACAGTACCTGCATCACTGCACACGCTGCACCAATCCGTCTGTCAATCTCACACTCTTTCTTTCTCTCAGTCCTGAACAAGACCCTGATAACTCTCTCCACCACCTGGAGACTTAACATTAGTAATTTATAACTAATCCTCCACCTCTATCTCTGCTCACTGACAGGCCACACTGGAGCGTACACACCAAGCTCTGGAGGAGGAGAAGAGGAGGACCGTGGATCTGCTCTACTCCATATTTCCTGGTGACGTGGCGCAGAAGCTGTGGCAGGGTCATCACGTACCTGCGCGCAAGTTCGATGATGTCACCATGCTGTTCTCCGACATCGTGGGCTTCACGGCCGTGTGCGCCCAGTGCACGCCTATGCAGGTCATCTCTATGCTGAACGAGCTCTACACGCGCTTCGACTACCAGTGCGGAATCCTGGACGTCTACAAGGTTTGTGCTCGCCGTGTCAGCGAGAGATCCAATCGCCTACGTGATTTCAATGGTTTCAAAACTGTTACTAAAAGATACAAAAATAATACAATTACTATATTTTATTTCCATTTCTGCACAAACAAGTTGAAATGCCTTACAAATGAAATAGGGTAAATCTGCTAAAATCCAAAAATCCAAAAGTCATTTCTAGTTAGTGTTGATTCTAGAAATTCCTGCTGTAGTGAGTTCAGTAAGCCCCTACAATGCAAGGAAGGTAAAATTGCTTGAATGAAGTAGTTTTTGGTCTTGATTTGAGAACATTCTGACTGTCGTAAAACAAGATTTGCCTATGGGACAAAGCGTTTTAGTCTTATTTTAAGAACCTTTTGCTTTATTTTCTCATTCCAAGGGAGATTTCTTGTATCAGTGTAAAACTAGATAATTTTGCTTTGTCCCATTGACAAATCTTGTTTTAATGCTGTCAAAATGTGCTACATCCTGCCAAATTAGATTTTTTTTTTGACTTAATTTTCATAACTTTTTGCAGTGTAGTTTGTGACCCCTAGTTCCCAGCAATCCACATGGATGTTTGAGTTGTGTTAATGTCTTATTTTTGGTAGAAAATAAAAACCTTCTGTTAGAACGTCCTCCTGTGGCTTCACTCCAGTTTTTTCTTACACAAATCTTCATAAAATGTTAAGCCATTCTAAACAACTAATCATTTAATTGAATCTCTAGATAAATTTATGAAATAATCATTAGTTGCAACTTTGTGTCAGATACTATGCCTGGAATGTTCCACAGTATGGCATTACTGGGGCAATCTGGGAAAGCTAAAACTTCTCCAAGAGTCCGTAGGTACAGTACGCTTATACAGTATAAAAGGTACACTTTTATTCACCCCCGTATATGTCCTCTGCATTTGACCCATCCTCCAACGCCGATGGACCTCTGTCAGGAGCAGTGATCGCCAAAGTTCAGTGCTCATGGGGACTTATCTCTGGATGTTGATGGATGGAAACCTGCACAGACACAGGGAGAACATACAAACTCATACCCCTTCATTTTGCCTCCATGTGAACACGTTAACAGAATAGTTTGTACTTGGAGAGACTTTTTGTTGAATGGTCCTGAGCAGGTGAAATGACCAAAGTCAAACCCATGTACGTTTTATGTGCTTCTTTGTGTCAGTATGTGGAATAGTCTGTGTTTAATGTAGCAGCTTAACAAACATGTGATTATGAGCCATCTGACGCCTCTGGAACTCTGCTTCAGAACCATCTCTGGCTTAGCTCAGTTTTTTTTGAAGTGACAGTAAAGAGTTCATATCAGCAGTGTTATGAGTAGCTGACAGATTGTATGCAGCGGCTCGTGTGATCAGTGTGTGTAGAGGAGACACAGAGGAAGCCCATATGTTGCTATTGTCATGGTTACTGTCTGAATGAGTTTCCTGCTGCAAAGTCCAATGGAAGCGGGTATTCTCCTCGTCTTTCACTCTACACAGTTTTCTATCATTTGTATACTGACGCTTATCAACTAGACCTCTATCCAGTTCACGGCATGTACACAGAAGTCTACTATAATATTCAGTCACTAGTTCGTTTGTGGGTTTTGAATGCCATTGTAAAGGGCACAATATTGTCTTTCGGCTTCTCTTCTTTAGTCAATTCAATTCAATTCAATATATTCTTGTACATCCCCACATCACAACAGTAGTTATTGACTTTGCCAACACAGATCGGAGAATCAAACAGTTCAAATACAAGAAATGCAATGATAGAAAACACATTGGTCCATAAGAGGCAGATGACCATAAATCTCAAATCCATAAATGTTGATGAATATCTATAAACGTTGGCACATATACATCGGGTGACATTTTCTTGATTAGATTTTTCAAAAAACAAAATAATTGTGCCAAAAACACAATTTGGTAAGATTTTTCAATTTCGTCCTATGATAAGTAGGGACCGATTACATTTTTAAGTCTCACGAGACATTGGTAATCGCCCAAGATGTCACTGATTTTTCAAAAAGCATTTGATGTAAAAGCAACTTTAACATCCAGTGGGTAAAGCTTGACATCTTGTCAAAATTTACTCACTATGTTTTACCCAATTTTAGGGCTGAGAAATTGCGGAATTCACATGTACAACTATGTACAATCTATGCATCTATTCTTGACAACTGTAAAAGGTCCTCAGAAGCCATTGGGATTGTGCACGCAATCACAATGCTATTCATTTTTTGGAATGTATTTACTGATGGAAACTCCCATTTTAAAAAGGTTTTGATAATACACTGCTTCAGAGTTATTTTTCATTATTGACTTTATGTGGCAGATATGTAGCTGATCAAAGAATGAAGAGTTGATATATGTTAGATATATACAGTATATGATCTTTCTTATGAATTCATTTAAAAATCTCTCTTTTGAGAAGAGTTCTGTATGTGAAATATTTACCTTGACTTGATACTAGTTGATTTAAAATAGAAATTTTGACTTTTGAAAACCATAACTACAATGAAGGCTTGTAGGGCTGCTAAAGTTTTTTGTTATGTTATTTAGTGAACATATTTTTGTGTGTGTATCAGATCGAGACCATAGGAGACGCCTACTGCGTGGCCGGGGGGCTTCATAAGAAGGTGGACAGTCATGCCAAGCCCATCGCTCAAATGGCTCTGAAGATGATGGAGCTCTCAGAGGAAGTACTCACACCAGATGGAAGGCCTATCAAGGTGATGTACCAGCACTACTACTCATGAATACAAATAAATTATGTTGTGCAAGTGGTGACTTGTACATTTCTCCATTATGAGATCAATAAAGTTGTATTTGATCTCATGTTAAATCTGAACTTGGATAGAGAAGTAGAACAAAGAGACAATGATACAGAAGAGAAGGTAAAACTGGGACTATTACAAAAACATTGCAATTCCTTATTGAGGTTGTTGTTCACATGACATGATTATCCCAGTGGGATTATAGTGCTATCGGCTATAAGGAAATGGGTTGTTATCTTTGATCTGGCTCCACCACTGTAGTACTGACTGCGGAAAAGGAAATACACTGTGGAACCCTATGGCGACTTTCCATGAGTCAAAAGCAGGATTAGAGCCTGGTCCAAAACACAAGTCTTGGTCTTACGCTTAGTTCCACATCCGTGTCAACCCAGGTCTGTTTACCTGCTCTGGAGTTTGCCAAAACTGCCGCCATTTTGTTCTGGTGCAGATCTGGGTTGGTCACATGACGTGCAGCACAACAGCAGTTCCAGTCCCATGTGATCATTGTGCTGCTTGACGCATGCACAGGGAGCGCTGAAAGTTTTCCTACGGGAGTGGCCACTCGTGGCAGGTCGAGGCCTCTGCTTGAGCAAAAGGCTATTACTTTGAAAAGGAAGAATAGGCCATTAACGGACCATAATTCTTACTATGAATTATCCATGGGATTTAGTTGTGCTGGAAAATGTACAAACCCAGCCAGAGATTTTATTGTCTTGACTCATTGTTCGTGGTTGTGTAAAGCCGTAAATGAAAAGTACGTTATAACTTCATTAAAGTTGTTTCCTGAAACTGACACATACATTCCAATTAGTGTAGTCATATGTTTCTTTAAATACGTTCACATATGTCATTCCCCTCCTCTCATGCTTTCTTTTGTGAAATAGATGATTAGATATTATTGTTGGTCAGATTCACAGCCAAGGCTCGATGGGAACTGTTTACACGAGTGCTTTCTTAAATAATTGAATTGTGTCAAAATTGAAATAGCTGCAGGATAACAAACTGGACACTGTTCCATGCACTGCTGCTCCCAACATTTGTCTCAAAATAGAAAAGCCTTGCCAAGCATTTTTGGCATGGTCTCCCGCTTCTCCATTTTCTCTGCCGACTCGCTGTTCTTTTTTACTTCCGCTGGTTTTGCCTTCACTTCCAACTTGTTTCTGTGTGTTGCAGCATGTTGCACTTATCCCTCCTCCCCTCGCTTTTAGAATTAAGAAGTGCTACGGATCCGTCATGATCGTCGCTTTTCACCAAGTGCACTCATCTCCAGCCAGTTGCTCTGTTATGCAAACTAGTAAAGGGCTCTGTGGCGCTATGAGGCTGCGAGGAGAGGGAGCTTTGAGAGGCTGACAAGAAGAGCATAATGAGGAGAGATGAAGCAAAAAAATAAATAAAAAATGGTGGCACTCATTTAAAAAAGAGAAAAGAAAAAATAGTTAACATTCCATTTCTTGCGTCAGACAGTTTCAAAGGTGGATATGACAAGATGGAATAAAATCTGCCAGCTTCAATATTTTCTGTTTAATTTATCATTTTCTAAAACAGCGTAACTTATTTCTTCTATTGGTCAGCCTCCATCATCGACTGCTGCCCAGATTTAAAGGAGATGCATGTAAGTTTTGAAACTCAATAGTTATACAGGTTGTGCTGAGAATAAGAAAGAGAATGTTGAGAATTTCATGTTTTGTATTACGTGGTTGATTTTTGTTAGGTTAGGGTTAGGGAAGGTTGGCTACTCCAGCTTTAACCTCCTGCAGATGCATTTAAGTGCAGAGGACAAGGAACGGCCCGGATTATTTTATAAATGTATTTGGACTCACTCATCACACAGTTCCAACATTTAAGGAAATATCTTTTAGATTTAATTTCTGAAAGTCACATGAAGTTAACAAGATTTGCTAAAATGCCTGGTTATAATTTTTGCTGATTTTATTTCCGATCACAGCTTTACTGAACACTTCTGAATCCGCCTCAAAGCCTTCTACAGATCATTGCATGTTTACTGCTTGTAAAAATGATTGTTAAAGTTATGTGTGTAGAGGTAGAGAATTCATCAGATTCAGATTCAGTTTATTTCCCCATTTGTAGTAAAACCACATTGGAATACATGAACAAATGTACCCCTGAATGTACTAATTATCATCACATCATTGATTATAACAACATTGAGCCGATCCAGGGATAACTCAAATGTGCAGTTCATGCAAGGTGATCCAGGAATTTACAGGTGGCAAGAAGAATGGGCAGCTTTACCATCAAAGAGGATAAGGAACCTCATTCACAACCTCCAGACTCCGAGCTGTCAGCAATGTCAAAGAGACTATACACATATGTTGACAAATGGGGGATGGAAACTTCTAATCATGGTCAGAATAGTAATTTGTTGTCATTTAATTTGCAAATAGATAAAGTTTACTCGACAATTGATGGCTTTTCACAACCTCTATCATTAATTCTTCTGAAAACTGGCCAAAAACTGTGTGCCTGGGTGTGTAAACGTTCATACACAACTAAAATAGACACTTCCCACAAACCATGACTTAGACTTGTGTCCGCCTAACTCTCTTTGCTCACTTGTGATTGGTTGGTCGTGACACCACTCTCGGTCTTGATTGGCTGCTGCAGAGCCATTTGCCGCGATCGCTGACTCACTCGGAAAAGGCGGCTGCGCAGGTTTGAACGTCTGGCTTTTTCCAGAGATCAAAAGGCAGCGAGCGAGTGGGCAGCCCCGAATGCACATTTGTTTATATGAGTGTGAACCAGTGCTGTCGGAGCGCACACACACACACACACACACGAGCCATCTGCGAGTTTAAAAATAGGTCACGCTGGTTCACCCACGTCCCGCCCTTTGAGTGTCCCCGCGTCTTATCCGAGGCTCAGGACTGTCAAGGTTCCTGCATCTAATTATAGGTTTATTTTTGCTCCGTTCTTTCCATTGTCTTTCGCTCTGTCTTTCTGTCCGCGTCGGTTCTGCCTCACTACCCCATCGCCTGTTGTTGCCATGACAACTGTGCAGTGTGCTGGCATTACTCACAGTGGCGTTGGTTACCAGGGAGACAGGATGCTCTGAGAGACCATTAAAAAACCTGCAAAGCTCTCTTTGTTTTTTTGTCCTATATTTCAGATCAATAGTTACTCGGTTGTGGAAGTGGGATGTCTGTATATTCTCATTGGCACTGAACAAAAACACTGGAATTTCGGGAAAAGACCCAAAGTCACTTTTTCCTTACACACTACATGACCTGGGCTGGTGTGTCAGAACAACCGGCCTTTTAATTTGCCTCTTAACCTCCCAAGAACCTGAGCACTTTTTTGCGATGCATCTTTTATTTATATTTGCTAATTGGGCATATTGGGGCCATATAAATACATATACTAAAGATCATCTCTTGACATGATGCAATTTTTGAGAAAATGCTGTCCACATATGTAGACTCTCGGTCTGAATTTCCATAAAATGCAATTAAGCCACAACTGTGTAATAAAGTGCAAAACTCTTTATTTCCACAAAAATGTTTGCTCAATGAACATGTTCAAACATATCTCAGTGCAAAAACAGCAAAAGGAGTACTTGGATGGTCTTGGGAGCTTTGTTGTCTGGGGCTTCATGCCCCTGGTAGGGTCTCCCATGGCAGACAGGTGTTGAGTGAAGAGTCAGACGAAGTGCAGTCCGAAGCCAGCATGGATAGCACAATATTAAGACGTCGCCCGGCGCAGCCAGGGCCCCACCCTGGGGCCAGAGGTCGATGATCACCTTTGTTGTCGTATCATCTGACCTTTGGCCGCGTGTCTCGGACACTCGGGTGAAGAGAGGGGCGGAGCTGTCTACCGATCACCACCTGATCATGAGTTGGATCCGCTGGCAGGGAAGGAAGCCGGTCAAACCTGGTAGACCCAAGCGTGTAGTGAGGGTCTGCTGGGGACGTCTCGCTGAGCCCCCTGTCAGACGGACTTTCAACTCGCACCTCCGGGAGAGCTGCAATAAGTCAGACCTGTTTTCGATGCATGTTGGCCTCCGCCAAGGCTGCCCTTTGTCTCCAGTTCTGTTCACTGTCTTTATGGACAGAATTTCTAGTCGCAGCCAGAGGCCGGAAAGGGTCCGGTTCGGAGACCACAGGATTTCATCTCTGCTGTTTGCGAATGATGTTGTCCTGTTGGCGCCAACGAACCAGGACCTGCAGCATGCACTGGGGCGGTTTGCAGCCGAGTGTGAAGCGGCTGGGATGAGAATCAGCACCTCCAAATCTGAGGCCATGGTGCTCGACCGCAAAAAGGTGCCTAGCCCTCTTCGGGTGGGTGGAGAGGTCCTTCCTCAAGTGGAGGAGTTCAAGTATCTCGGGGTCTTGTTCACGAATGAGGGAAGGATGGAGCGTGAGATTGACAACGTGCTAACGATGCGGTCGCTTTATCGGACCGTTGTGGTAAAGAGGGAGCTAAGCCAAAAGGCAAAGCTCTCGATTTACCGGTCACTCTTCGTTCCCTCCCTCACCTATGGTCATGAGCTTTGGGTAATGACGGAAAGAACGAGATCATGGATACAACTTGTTCAAATGAGCTTCCTCCGCAGAGTGGCTGGGCGGTCCCTTAGAGATAGGGTGAGGAGCTCAGTCACACGGGAGGAGCTTGGAGTAGAGCCGCTGCTTCTCCACGTCGAGAGGATCCAGTTGAGGTGGCTCGGACATCTGTTCCGGAGGCCTCCTGAACGCCTCCCTGGGGAGGTGTTCCTAGCACGTCCCACCGGGAGGAGGCCCGGGGAAGACCCAGGACACGCTGGAGGGACTATGTCTCTCAGCTGGCCTGGAAACGCCTTGGGACGAGCTGGAGGAAGTGTGTGTGGATAGGGAAGTCTGGGCGTCTCTGCTTAGACTGCTGCCCCCGCGACCCGGCAACGGATGAAGCGGAAGAAAATGGAATGGATTGGAACTTTTGTTTGATTTAGAAAAAAGAAAAAA